ATTTGCCCTGCCAGTGCCAGTCCCAGTCCCAGTGCTAGTGCGATGGCGTCTAATTCTAATTCCCTCCTGCAACGCGGCGTATGAGTGATGTTTAAACCGGCATTAAGCATACGCCACTAGGTACTCCTTAAAGCTCCTGAGGTGGGCCCCATAATAGGGCTAAACCACAGGAAACAAAAAGAACAAAAAAAAACCTTGGATAAAAGGCCAACAGGCAGCGAGAAGCGCGAGCAACAAGCGGCTGAGGCTCCAAGAGGCTAAGCTCTAATTTTCTCACGTACTTGTAAATTTTGCGGAAAACCGCAACAAATTCACTTATAAAAGTAATCTAGAAAGCGCGTACACAACCGGAAGCACAAAAAGGCGCAAGAAACATAAGAAAAATCCCGAGCAGCAACGAGCGGAAACAAAAAAGCGCACAGAACTCGCGTCGTGTAAAGAATGGCGTTTGTCGCGACACGGCGACAACTTTGGCTACTAAGCATGCGGGATGGTAGAAGAGGTGGTGCGAAAGGGACAGAGAGCGTGGGGGGACGTGAGAAGACGGACGAGGAGGTAAAAGCAGAGTGAAGCTTGCGACTGAAGCAGGAAGGGTCTACTAAGCTTAAAGCGGCCCTCACTTTATCACAGATTTAAAACGAAATGAATGTAAGCACATTAAATGACTTGGACTGGGGACTCTTATTAAAGGTTCACAAGGAAGGACTTGAAAAGATACTACATATAGCCCAAGGGGCCCAACGGTGGACGGACGGACGATGGCAAATGGGCGGCGGGTCTGTCAGACGGAATGAAAAAGTTTTAAATGCAAAGTTAGTTTATGCAGAAAACAAAAAAGGATTTAATTGGAGAGCGATTTGTAGGGCGGTTAAGAACCAGACAAGTTGGTCTTATCATTTTGTTTAAATGGGGACAGATCCATTAAGGACATAATTTAGAGTGAGAGAGAGAGAGTCTTAGGTTGATAAGAGTTCATAGAAAGATCAAAGAGATGTATTAAATGGTACAACGAATAGTGATCAATCCTGATACAAATCCTTTCAAAAAGCTCCAACCGGTATTTTATTTACTGCAGCTTTCGGTTATTAAAGATGATTTTCTTAGCCTTCGGTTCCCTTTATCCAATATCTCCAAATGGGTTGGCTAATGTAGTCATTTCTTTTGGTAAAAGTTTAAAATTCAGCAGAAGTTTTCGCCGCTTATCTAAACCATTAACCGAAAGACCATTCAAAGTCAAACAATTCCATTTGTTGTGGCTGTTTTGTGTGGATTTTTTGGGGTATACTCCAACTGGTATTTAGAGCCACTCGAAATCCGCAACAAATGAATATTAAATAACCTGATAAGTTTGTACAGAAATGTGGCCTCTAGCTGTAACCTCATTTCCCTTCATCTCTGGAGGGGAAAGATCTGCAATTAGAAAAACACATTTTTTTGGCTGTTTCGCTGTTCAAAATTCGTTACGGACAAGCGTTGAAGGCAGGTCTGAAAAGTCGGTGGCAACAAATCCAATTTTCAGCTGCAAAGAATAAAGTTAAGTTATCAAAAAAGAGGAAAATAAATTGTTGCTCGACAGAGAAAGTTGGCTGTCAGACGGAGACTACAAGGACAATGGCAGGCTAGGACATCCAAGTCCAGGTTCTTCCATTCTATCCCCGCAGCTATGTGTCACAATTTCCCAAAGTGGGACCTTCATCATTATTACGGCGGAAACTTTCGGCGATGCTTTTAATAAACTTTTACTTGCCATTTGGCCATTCGGCATTTATGCAAATTGCAAATACACAAACATCGAGAGCGAGGGCCAAAACCAGAGCCAATGCCAGTTCCAGTTCCAGGACCAGGGCCAATAACAACAAATTTCAATTATGCCATCAAATCTATTTAGGTGTATAAATATTTGGAAATTTTCTGCCGCCTGCCTCTCAGGGGCTTGTGGTGTGTAATTTACAGATTTTCTTGTTGAGATTGTGGCCAAAGTTTGCCTCCTCCCGCTGTCTTCCTTCCACCACCAATTGTGCGTAGTTTTTTGGGTCATAATTGGCCCGCCAGCCGAGCCTGAAGAGTCAATAAGCGGTTCGAGCGGCGCTGAAGTGAATTCTTGGCATTGAATATTTTACAACTCATTGTTGTGTGGCATGTGGTGCTTGCCACGAGGCGCTGCTTTAATGCTTGCTTCATTTGATTTCGTTTCAATTAGACTGGTAGTCAAAGCAGCTTTTGCCCTCCAGAGACTGTTTCAAGTTCATTAACAAAATGAAGGCAAGGCAGCTTCCGGCACTTGAGAAGGGCCTCGGGTGATGGGCGCGCCAAATGTTGCCTACTTTCAGGCGCCGCATTCAATCAATTATGCTTGCGTGTGCGTGTGTCTTTGAATGGGGGTGTGTGCGGGTGTGAGTGAGTGTGTATTTGTACTCTTGGTCAATTTGGTTAATTAATAAAAATGTTAACAATGAATGAGGGCCGAAACTTGAATTGGGATTCGGTGTATATTCTTTTACTTTTCTACTTTGTACAGAGTCAAAGTGCTTTTTCTTCAGAAACTAAAAAGGTGTTCAAGGAAAGCGAACACCTCAAGAGATCCAAGAAGCCATAAACCTATCATAATGTTCAACTGAAGTTTCGGTATCTGAAAACGCTGATTGAGCTTATAAGATTGATCTGCAAAATCGTTTAGCTGCAGGATGCTCCCTAAGGATTACATTTGCAAAAAATCCAAGAGACCAACTTGATTAACTAAATATACAAGAGAATATCTTATGTACATATTTCCTTAAGTATTGTATCTCTGCTTACCACTCTACAGAGGGGGCGGGCTTTGATGCGAAGAAATCAATCATGGCAACACTTGGCCCATTCGTTGCCACTTCCCCCCACATTTGGCAGGACATGTTCTCACATGGTCCTGAAGTGGCTGGGTCATTTACTTTATTGATTACAACTTTTTCTTGTTTCCCGATTGCCACAACCACAACGGCAACGGCAACAGTAACAGTAATATGAGTGGGTGGAGGCAGGGGGAATGGCTACCACAATAACTAGCAGGATACTGGATGCGGTATACTGAACAGTGCTACCACCGAAGCCAAGAGGAAGTAGCAAATGTTTTCCACACACACAAAAACACTCACACATACGCACGCAGACAAAAGTTGCCTTGATTAAACCTGATTTTGTGTGGGAAATACGACGGAGTTTTCATTCCCGGAGAGGATGGCTACGGCTACTGGCCACGGCATGTACTAGCCTTTGTTTTTCAGCTCTAATGGCTGTGAATTGCATAAATAAATTTTCAATTCGCATCTGTCTGGCAATCACTACAAATAAATAAAGTGAAGGCAGCATAAAACTGTCATAATTTATGAAGTTTATCATTTTCCTGGGTGTTTTTCTTCTTTTTTCTCCTTTTGTGGTTAAGGTTGAGGGCACGCGGCACTGAGCAGGGGGCACCCAAAACGCATTTGTGTCAATTTAAATTTATGTAAACATAAAATGGCCGACCAACCAACAGCAAAAAAAAAACCCCCCCTTGAAAACGTCCTGTATGAGAAATGTGGTCACTCCACTTGGATATCACATTTTTCATGCGCCTTTTGTACTCTTTTTTATTGGGTATAATGATTGGGTAATAAATTTTGGCAGCCTGGAAGGCTATGGTGGGAAAATGATATGATGTCTGGTGCGAAGCTTGGTCGGATGATAAAAATACAAATTTGTTTTGTGGTAAAATAAATGTGAGATTGTGCAGAGAATATCTACAAAAAAACCAACAGACCTAAACAATTGAAGAGTATTCAAAATTCCATGGAATACTAAGAAGAAAAATATACCCTGTTGGTTATCCAACAGCTAGAGTCCCTTCATTTTCTTTATGATTTAATGCGCGCGGCACGCCGTGACGTTCACTTGGGCCAGGCCATGGACAATACGATAAAACTCCGCAACAGCCAGAGGAATATCAATATGCGACGGGATGGAACGGGACAAGACGCAGCAGGATGAGAGAGGTGGTGGGGCCAGAAAAAGGACAGAACACGACAGGACAGTAGGACAGCAGGACAGCTGGATACGCTTTTCCTTGGCCGCCTGCGCACTTTTGACATTTCATTATCCTGTTAAGTATTCAAAAGTCAAGCAGGCAGGAACAAACGCAGACACAGACACACACACAGACCCTGTTCGCATGTCTGGGCCATGGCCAAGGCAAAACCGAAGCCAAAACCAAGCCCAAACCCCAGGCCGGAATCAGGCCGGAACCCCACCCCATTCCTCCCTCGCTCCATCCACTGCTGCTGCTGTCCTGCTGCGTTACCAGCTTATCATTTATGCCAAACGCGTACTTTTTGGCTTTTAGTCCGTCTCTTTCTCCTGTTCCGTCGTTTGTTTTGTCTGCCTGTAATGCCATGCGGAATTGCCTTTGTGTCCTTGGCGTTTATGACATTGTATTCGACTCTCTCTCTCTCTGTGTGTGTGATTTTGTGCGTGTGTGTGCGTGTGTATAAATTACATTACATAACAAGCAATATAACAAACGATAACAAACACCTTGTGACAAAGAAATGACAATGAGCAAATATGAGAAGAGAAACGAGCGAGGGGTAAACAATTTAATATAAAAATGTTTCATCGATTTTGAATCTGCAGTGTCTGCTTTATGTCCTGGCAAAATTATCAAATGCTTCCGTGCTTCCAATATCCTGGCATATAGTATAGCAACTCCATCGATTGATTGATTGATTTACGGACAAGAAATCCAACCCAAAAAGCAATTAAAATCTGCACACTAAACCTTCTTCCCGTTCCCCTTCCCCTTCCGCGTCCCCACCGTCCAACTAAATAGTTCTTCAAATCAATTTGTCTACAGCTGTTCCTTTGCACCCACTCCGACCCGTAGATACATATATTTAGAAGATCCCTATCTCAATAAAGCAATCAGTGGCACCCGGGCTGAAAAGTGTGGTAATACAGAAATTTCCTCGTCTTTTTTTCCCATTTTGCAGGTCACTCGAGAGGCAGCCTTGGGGTAGGAGCAGAAACAGGGGGGCAGGAGCAGCCAATGCAACCTGCACAGACATCATTAGAAGTGAACGCCAACCACACGTGAGTAACTCGAGGGTGTGCCTACATGTGCATGTGCGGGACAGGGAGAGGGAGGGAGGAGGATAGTGTAGTGGTACACTATATCGACACTATATATCTTGGACATGTGTTGGCCATCAACTTATGCAATCAACGATTTGGCTTTGACCGGGGCAAACTGTCTCTGACTGCCGCTGGGTGCTATGTAAACCAGCAGCCACACAGCAAAGACGTAGACGTAGACGAAGACCCGGAGATGGAGACAGAAACAGAGACCCGGAGACGACCCGGACAAATGTTTATTTAAGCATAAAGCCACGTACGCTCAAACACAGACATGCACTCACATGTTTAGACATGCATACGAGTAGATGTGTGTGTGTGCTCCTGTTCCACCATCTATGTACTTAGGCACAGCTGTACTTGCAGTCCATGGCAAGTCCATGGTAATTACATACAGACGACACTTTCCCACTCTTCGTATCCTCAAAGCCCCATCCGCATCCCCATCCATCCACATCCATCCCCATCCTAGGGCTGGCTGCTGGATAAATATTTGGTTTAACCTTTTTCCTTTTGTGCGGCTTGGCTCCGGTCGCTTTGTATTTGCCTTTGGTTTTATGGCAGCGCCTGTGTCACTATTTCATTTCATTTCGATTTGAGCCACAGTTCGCCGCAGTCCTTAGCCAGATTTGTACCCTTAATTTATTTGTTTGCGATTTTCTGATATTTTATAATTGAGTTTTTCCTTTTTTACTTCACCTTCACCCTCACACCCATTCCCTGATGAGATGAGGGTTCAACCGTAGCCCGGAAAAAGTACCAAAATATACATACATATAAAGCAAACTGTTGATATTTATTGGACAGGACACGTTCACAGAATATACGTATATATGTACGTGTATATGAATCTCTCTTTGCGAGTGTGAGTGCTCAAGTTTGTGTGAGAATATGTCCCCTGGGACACTCTCAGCGTCAGCGTCTTGGCTTTCCCGAAAGTTATTGTTATGAATGAATCACTTTGCGCCAGACTTTGTTTCTTTGTGCAAAGGACACGGACACGGACACAGACACGTACCTCTGGCGACAGGATATACTTTTGACTTAATTTGATTTCGCCCAAATGAATTTCAATTAGGTTCCAAAATGAAATTTACGCTACGCAAAGTGATTCCGCTGGAAGATAAAAGAGTTGATTGTGGAAAGGCTTCCAGCCAGGACTGGAGTGGAATGAAGTTCAGTTCGCTTTTTATTCCCTACCTTTAGATTGATTATGATTGGTATCTCTTCTGTCTCTTGTAGGTGGAGAAGGTGTCCAAATACCTGGTTCCTCTTTGCCAGTCTGTGCTCCCATGCCATAGTCGCCCTAAGCCTTTGTTAAGCACCTACACTTAACCATGTCAGGCTTCGATTTATAGCCCCATGAACACTCTCTATATCCACCAGCGTCCTTATATTTCTGAGCCTCAGTCCCTCCCGTTAGTCAGCACTTCTGGGCTGTGTTGGTACTCTGGTTTTCAGGCCAGAATTGATTGATTTCTGTTGTAGTGGAGGCCATAGAGCAGGCTTAGACCCTCACACCCACACCCACACCCATACCCACACCCCCACACAGTCTCGTCCTACAGTATATTGACACGCAGTCATAAATAAAAACACTCAGATATTCATGCCAATGATTCCTATGTTTTCATCTTCTGTTTTTCCCAAAGCCTTCGCCTTCAGTGTTGTTCGATTCGATTCGACTCGACTCGATTGTGAATCGAGAAAAAGCCTGCCTGCGGCTAGAATGTCTCCCAAATACAAATTGTATCACTTAATATTTGTACTTCCTGCCCTGCCCCCCCCCATTCCTGTTGTTTCCCCTCCGTGTTGCATGTTGACGCTGCCTGGTTTCTGATCCGTTTGCAGTGGGGTCTGTATGACTCTCGGATTGCTGAGCGTTTTGCTGATGATTTGCGTGTTCCTGAATAATTGATGGAATGACAGTCTTTCGATGTGTCAGCATTGTTGTCACGCGTTGTTATCAGCCAGAGCAGAGAGAAGCGGCAACAACATTCTCATCCTCATCATGAGCATCATCATGATCATCATCGTTATGGATCCAATGTTTGGGATGTCATTGCTGACAGCGGTCGTTGCTTCCACTCAACCTCATCTCCATCTCCATCCTCATCCTCATCATCATCCTCATCGTTGTGTGTGCCGTGAATAATAAGACAACGTTGCAATATACTAACTCACTGGCACACTCACTGGTACTCGCACTTCAGGCTCATGAATGATGAGCAGTCAAACAATCAGCTTTTCCCCTCTAGGAATGGGGATATCCACTGATTTACAAGAGCATAAACCAGGTCGATTCCCAGCCATCAGATGCTAATGCTGTTCCCCATTATGGTTACATTCAAAAATTAAACAAGATTAATTTGTTGGCTCATTTAAAACGGCTTAACAATATCATTAATTTCATTTGCCCCGAACCGAACCAAGGCAAAGCTAAGCAAAGCAATGCAAACATATTCAAAGGGACAAACATGGGCTTCAAGCCGCTTTAGGGGCTTACATTTAGGAGAGGGAGAGGGATAGGGAGAGGGAGGGAGGGCCTAACCACTGGCTGGCCTATCATTAATCAATTTATGGATAAAGAGCCATTTAAAAAGGTCATAAAAGCCTGTCAGCGCAGCCTCCCCTTGTAGTCAGCTTTTTACAACTTTGTAAAAGTTTTCCCCTGATTTTAAGGAGCAGTAAAGATTCTCCCGTGCAAGTTCCAGTCTTTTTTTTTTAATGTTATCTATTCATTAAACTTAATGATATAGCTCCCTAGAGTTATTATTCTATTTGCTCCGACCCCGACCCAATCTGTCCCATCCTGTTGTTCTTCGCTCTGTTCTTCTCTGTTTTGAAATAATCATCCTCTGCTTTCTGGGTAGATTTTTAAACGGTTTCAGCGTTCACTGGGTTTTTCCTCCTAGTTTTCCTCGTGCTTTGCTCATTTCCGAAGTGACATACACAATTTTTGCCTTGTACGCCTCCGGCTAGCGGTCTGAATGGGCTTGGGCTCCCATAGTTTTCTGAAGGATGCTGGGTGCTCTCTTCCCCCCTTCATCATAATTATAAACACAAAACAGACAACAGCAGGATGGATGCCTGGATAAATGTACGGGCGAGAGGATGAGGATGTCAGTTTTTCCCCTGCACTTTTGCATTCAATGCGAGCAACATGTGGCAGAATATGCTGCCCCACATTTGCAGTTTGCTTTCTTTTCGCAGTTAACAGATCAAAATGATGGAGATGGAGATGGAGATGGTGTTGGTGATGGTGATGGAGGTGGTAGCCTTTTTATCCATTAAAAGAAAACCTTTCAGTTCCACAAGGGAGGGATTCCATTTTTCATGTTCCATGTTGACGAGTGTCAATAGTGATGTTGGACCTGAGTCCTGTGATTCAACAATATTGTTGTCTGCCCTGCCCCATTGCCGTTTTCATCTCCATAACCATCTCCGTCTCCATCATCATCGTTCATTGTAATTACGATAATTACAACAAGGACTGGGGCTGCTCCTTAGAGCTGCACCTTAATGAAGCAGCATTCAATGCATTCACAGAGGCACTGCATCAATGGTGCGCATTCACAGTCGGACCAGTGATGCAGTGCCTCTGCCCCTGCCCCTGCCTGTGCCTCGCCTGAGTCGCCTTTGGGACATGTGTGGTGGGTGTTTGAATGATGGCCACTCATCCGTTAACAGCTTCCTTCTGCAGACTCCAGTAGAGACGTCCACTCCCACTCGGTGTCCTTGTTCTGTTTATCCACTTAGTACCACACCAGGTCCGTGGCGTTAATTGAAATCTTTCGCATTAAGCCGCATTCCCAGTCCCACTCTCAGTCCCGTTCCCTGGATCGCTTTTGCTTTTAATATCCCCATTTCTGCACTTTGTAGCCGGTCCGCTTATTGTTTCTTGTTGTTGTTGTTGTTGTTATTAAACTTTAATTAAATACCTTTTTAAAATGCTCACGCATGGAGGGAAAATATTTTTTAATGAGATTTTGTGCCTTTTGTGTGTGTAAAAATGAAATATACTCGTACTCATGGCACGGCGGCGACGGCGGAGGAAACGGGCAGGGCAATACGGCGTATGCGTGTTCTTAGCCATTAAAAAGCGCGTAAATTGATTGCATACAAAGTCCTCTTCCTCTTTCAGACACATTCATGTAAAATAATTACCACTCCCAGGCGTAAGAGATGCACCAAGGCACACATAAATATATCAGAACTCATTTTCTCATTATTGAAAAAGAATTGCCAAAGAACAGGAACCCACGCAACCTGCAGGAAACCCATACCACACTTTCCATTCGAAAAAGTGTGAAAATGCTGATGACATTGGGGAGTTCTTAAGCCCCAGGGAGGCAGGCAGGCATCCTGGCATCCTGGCATCCTGTCGTCCTGGCGATGAGTGCAGGAAGCGGCAATTTAATGTGCTCAGTGGATTCAATTGCAGTTTGGAGTATCCCTGGAGCATCTGCCAGCCTTTATTTGTTTGTTGAGCCATCAATTAGCATAATCATTCGGCCAGAAATTGTTCAATTTATTGCTTTCAATTGTGTGCAAGTGAGAAATGGAATTCGTGGCTTTAAAGCAACTTTTTGAATCTTAGTTTCTTTTTCGGACCGGCCACAAAATGCATAAATGTGCTTTTCGTTTCAGAAATGTTGTTAATCAAATATAAAATAAATCAATAGGAATATCCTATCATCCTATGCTATCATGTGTTGGAAAAATTCGTTGGTATACCAATAATTCTTTAATGCCACTCGTACGTTCGCTCCATTTATCTGCATAGAACTGGCATATGTATGGTAATATTTAAAACATTTTCTAATTTTCTTCTAAATTTCCGCATTTAAAAAATGTACATAAGTCCCAGTCATTTATTAGTTTTGTGCTTTAAATTTTCTTTTATAAATTATATTCGTAAATTCTAAAGCCAACCGAATTAGTCATGTTTATTCATGTATTCACTTTCGGCAACATTTCCACAGCGAAACTTAGTCAAGGTCAGGTCGCTGGCCATTCAAAGAAGTTTGTTTCGGCAATTATATGATTATTTTTTTTTCTTTCATTCAACCTTGCCTTGTAAAAAAAAAAAACCAAAAACACAAGCTATAAAGGCAGAAATATGAAAGGAACGACTAGAAAATACCCTTGAGGAGAAGAGAGTTAATGCATTTGAAGAGTACTTTACAGCTGATGATTAGTTTGAAAATCAGTATCAGTATTCTGCTCCAAAAACCCCAACGGAATGAAGAGTACAAGCTGCTTGGAAATGTTTCTATCTAGTATTTGGCTACAAAAAGTTTGAAGCGAAAAACTTTTTTCAAGTATAATTCGCTCAAATATTAAAGGTGCCGCTATGGCTTTCAGGTGCAGGCGTGAAAACCTCTAGAAAATTGAAAGGAAAAACCCAAACTAAAATGCAAAGCACGGGACAGTGGGGGGAGTGGGCGGACAAGGGGCAAACGTAACCATGGACATAGCCATAGCCGTTGCCGTAACCATTAGCCGTAACCAAAAACCGAGCCAGACATTGAATTGACCTTAATAAAGTCGACTGCGACTGCTAGGACCTCTTTTTTTAATAGATGGCATCAAATTTGTATCCCTCTCTCTCCCACTCTCTCCCTCTCTCTCTCTTTCTTTCTAAATATATATAATGTATGTGTATATATTTTACAGAAAATGCTGATACTGCTGCCATTGCTAGGGATATTTGGCAATGGTCTCGTTGCCGGAGTCGAGGCGAGCCTGAGTCTGGGCTTTAAGGCCATCAAAGTGAGTTTGAACAAAAACGAAGCACACCAGCCATGAACATTTTTATGAATGCCCTTAATGCTATTTTCTTAATTATCCACCGCCACCCCCTCATTCGCCGCGTGGAACAGTTGCCCCGACATCCGAATCCGGGTAAGTTTCTTATGATTTTCTTCCATCTTAGAAATTCAATTGCATTACGAACGAAGCAAGGCAAACACTCAATGGGTGTTTACCATCGATTTGGGAAATGGAAATTTCAGAATTACATTAAGTTTGTGCTTCATTAATCAAAGGCCTGTCGAACAGGCCAACATCATCACCATTCACCATCTCCATCCAATGCCTGGCACTTCAATGGGGAACCAAAAAATTACTTTTTAAAGTGCAACAACCAGCAAAACTGAATAAAGCAATGGCAGAACATTTTTCCCATTTTGCCAGGCCATCCATTTAAATCTTGTTTCTCATTTACTGGTCGTCTAGGCCGAATAAATATTCATGCCATAGACGTCTGTTTTAACCGAAAGGCGATGAGAACTTGGAAAATACCCTGGAATTCATGCGAGTAGCTGTAAAAGTATCTCTAGAAACTTAAGTTAAAAATCTCTGGTTTTAAAATAGATCACAAATATCAGATTAGAACAGGGGGATCTCTGTTAGCTATGGCTATCCTACTCTTCAGGAGATTGCTTTGACTAAATAACTAGGTATTTTCTCAACAAACACGAAAATCAATCTTAAGCTTTAATGAAAATCTCATTCAAGCTTCTAGGGGGCAGAGGAAATAAAGGACGGCTTTCCCAAAACTCCTACAAGACTTAAGAAATGGATTATGAGAAACTGAACAGATATTTTCACAACTCCAATTAGTTGACTCAAGAACGAATAGCCTTCTGTGCCTCACACATTCATTGTCAGATAAAAAACCCAATTTTTACAGACCCCCTACAGGGTATCAGCGGGCAAAGGCAATACAAAAGAGCCGGACACAATCGCTGGGTCAAAAATTTCATTAAAACTTGCAGCGAGGAAATGTACTATTTATTTTCAATTCCGCTCATGCTTTGGCCGAAGTTTGGGACCTGTTTCCGGCCATTCGCTGTCCACCTACGTATATAGTACTCGTATCCAGATCCTGGCTTAGCAGATATCCCAGCGCCCAGGAGACACTCACCCAAGCCCCTAACTAACGAGTAAAGTGATTTTAATGGTTTTATGTTCGATTCTTTTTGCTTTTGTTATATGTACGGGTATATGTATGTGTTCAATTCTCTTCGACATGTGTGGCACTTATCCTGCCTCCCTGCCACCGTGCCACCATGCCACCATGCCAGCGTGCCAACGTGCCACCGTGCTATACATATTTCGTTGTCGTATAAAGCTGTTCAAAATTAAACAGCAGCGTGAGTCCGAACTGTGCCACAAACTTTTGCGATTCGAGGGCGTTACAACAAATACTAGACATTTTTGATGCATATATACAGATATACATATATATTTGTTGTATGAAAGAGTGGCCCTGGTCATACTCGTACCTCATTCGTGTCCCCATTCAAGTCAAAAGTTTTGAGTCAAATGCCAATACAGTTTGTGTATGGCCACGACCGAAATAAAAGTTTACCAGAGCTGAGTCTGAGCCGAGCCCCAGGGCCTCGCACGTAGTCGTCCACCCGTGTGGATGTGCCCAGGGCCCATATCAATGCTCCACACGTTTGCTATATGTTCTATGGCATCTAGATCTACACACACACACACACACACACAACTCTCCTGTGATGCATTGTCCAGGCAATACGGAACAAGTTTATTTAAACTGTAGAACTTGTTCTTTATTTCCCGGCAATCCCAGACCCCGGCACGCAGTCCGTAACTTTTCGCCCCCGAAAGCGGAAAGTTATCGGAACACGAATGATGCCGAGGCGCTGTGAACTTGGCCAAAACATATTTACGAATACGTGTAGAAATGAAGAGCAGCTCCTAAAGAATCCCAGTAGCTGGGTCCGAGTGAACTGCAAAGATTACTCTGTGGATATCATATGCAGTGCCAGTGCCCATACCCAGGGCCAGGGGTCAGAGAATGACACAAATCTTTGAAAGGAAAAGTTTTACTTTTACAAAATTCCATGAAATTAGATTATATATATTTAGAAATTACATCAGCCTATTGATGGCCCCCGTTCCCCTTTCCGTTCCCGCTGATTTCAAATGAGTAATCCTTTCTCTATTCATTTGAGGAAAGTAATTTTTAAACTGCCTTGGCCTCTCTTCTCTCATTTGACACAAATCATGTTATGAGTTCCACAAAACTTTTTATCCTGTACGGCACACTGAAAATACATACAATATGTTAAATTTCAGCTGGGGTCTTAAAGGCTTCACTTCGTCAGCAGGCTCTTTGGCCCCCCAGTCAAGTTGTTAATCTTTTCCAATTTCCTGAGGCAATCTTAGGCAAGTGGCTCTGGGGGGCAGACACAATCTTTAGTGCAGATTTTAGTTTTTGAAGTAGAATCGGGAACAGTTTTCAGCACTCAATCACATCATGTCCCAAGCAAACACTTGAGCCACAAAAATTGCGCATACGCAGCATGGAGCCGAACTTTTGGGAACTTGGACTTCTTTTGCCTGATATTCAGGGATATGTGGAACATGAAACATGGGGCATAGAGCATGGGCCATGGGGCATGGGGCATGTAGCATGGGGCATGGAGACATTGGACAGGGGCCACTCAAAACTTGTCGCACACGCTCGAGTGTTGTAAATCTTTGCACAAAATGAAACTTTATTTGGTCATGGTCATCAACGACTTAAGTAAATCTAAAACTCTAAGTAAAACAAACACTACAGCAGAACTGAGAGGGGGAGGGGCAGACAAAGGGCCAGGAGACACACACAGAGGCCGCATAAAACAAATAAACTGCGCACACGTGACCCCGAACAGAGGATGACCCCAACAAAGGGACACTGGGCGCAACAAAAAATATATGCCACACCAACAAAACAGCGGAAAGGGTAGATAGTAGACAGCGTGCAAGGAGTTCATTGCAAGCAGGAAAATGTATGAGGCATGACATCGGTTTTAGCTGGGGATATATATAGGGATACTCGTATGAGAGTACATGTAGACATCTATAGAGCACCTAAGTATGCTTCAGCTGGGGGCAGAGCAAGAGAAAGAGAGAGCCTTAAATGTTGACAGCGAACGGTATATAAAAGTGCTCACATCGCCCATTCCGGCATTCGCTTCCGGCTTCCTTTGACATTTTCTCTCTCTCTCTCTCTATCCCTTTCCCTCTTTCTCTCTGTCTCAGTTGGGGTCTTAAGAATGCAATGCAGCCTTTGTTCTGAACATGAATTGATAATGTTTGGAGAAAATTGACAGCTTCATTAGAGATGTAATATAGGTACTAGCATGATTGGCAGATTCAAATTAGTTGAAACGGGAAATTCAGGTTCAAAATACTATCAGCAATAAGCTAATATTCGTAACATTTTCATCTCTCCTATTTGAACATTGATTTCGGATTCGACCCAATGTCCAAAGTGTTTGCTTGATTTTAGAATAAATATTTCTTGAGCTTGTTTACCGGCATTTTTTTTGGCAGGGTATGGCCGCTTCGGTATTAGGGTCTCATCTCGTCGCGTTCCTTGTTTTTGCTCAGCCCGATTCGTTAGAAGTAAGCGATTGCTTGTAACGAACTCTGTTACACCCACTACACCCAAACAGGTGCATGTAAGCCATTGACAGCGTCTGCAAGAGAAGCTTTTTGCACACTTCTCTTCTGCATGTGTGTGTGTGGGTGTGGGTGGATGTGGCCCTGGCTCTGGCTCTGGCTGTGGCTGTGTGGGTGCTTGTCTTTGTACGGGTGTTCAATGCAGACGGCTTTTTGTGTGGCTGTGTGTGCGTCTTCTTATGCCAAAGTACATTAAGAAGATTGCACTTTCGAAAATGACACAATTCCACCTTATCTGTATCGCCACAAAGATGAAAGATGCAGTGCCACGCCACACAGTGCCAGCCCGTAGCACGTAGATACTTCCGGCATTGTCCGACGCTCGCTCGATGGCAACTTTTCAATAATAAAGGCAAATTGCTAATGTCACAAATATGCGACAACGTGCCCATATTCATTACAATCAGCTCGCTGGTAATGCCAATTTTCCCATTAACCATTGATGCCAAATGAATGATGATGCCTAAGCGCAGGAGGGTCTTCAACTGTGGCTTCCCCCCACACGTCCCCTCCGCCTCCAGTGTGCCTCTAGCGGAGTCACGTCGCCAGTGAAATCAATTCAAAGTGGAAAAGTACAGAGCACGTACCCAGCACCCATTCTCAGGCACACACAGACACACAGTCAAACACAAGTGGGTGGATCCCTCCTCTATGCTGCTGACTGTCTATGAGGTAACAGCTTCCCGGAATGCGATTGCACAGGCTCCTTCTCCAAGCCCCAAGCCCCAACCAAGGACCCAAGTAATTGTGATTGGCGGCTACACATACGAGTTTTTGGCCAGGCCAAAAGACCTGGGACAAAGGAGCCAGCCGCGAAGCCCCGTAGCCGGAGCCGGGGCAAAAGCAAACTTTTGCGGCCTAATGGCATGCCATAAAGCAGCTACATTTGTCAATATCAATTTTGATGAGACACGAAATGGGATGGAATGGTGGCTCTATTGTTTGCCTCGTAAATATGCGTTTCCAGCAAAATTTATAACGAACAGCCCTGACATTAATTGGGTTCCCATTCATTGACATTGCACATACCACATTTATTGCCCATGATATAAATTAGTAGCAAGAAATAAAAACCAAACCAAACAAAATGGAACGAAATTAAACAAAATGAAATGTATAATAAGCAAGGAGATCTGTTTGTGGGAGACTCAAAGGTTGTGAGTCGGAATGTCTGAACGTCTGAAGTTCCTAGTCCTAAGTACCATCATCAGCAGACGGAGCCACTTTAAAGAGACTCGACTCTCAGCCAGCTTCAATTCAATTTGATTCTTTCGCTCTGACAGTTTTCCACTACCACTATGCTACCGTTTTTATGCTCATTTGACTTTTCTCTTTTTCCCCCACATGCAACTATTTTTTGGCCTCTGGCGAACGCGACAACAATGGAACCCCTCAACGACTGCTGTCGGCATCTGCGACTCGATTTGGATATGGTCTTGGATGTGGATCTACGGATACGGATTTCGATCTGTGGCCTCCTTGGTCGCCTGCAGCCAATTGCAGTGTTGGCAACACAACATTCGCACATGGAGTCACATTTAAATTGGATTGTAAAACCCAATGCGTTTGCGAGGTGAGTCTCGTTCCGGGCAACGGCTGGAGGGCCATGGCCGTCCCAACTAGAGTTGGCCACAAACCACAGACAGCCACAGACAACCACAGACCGGGGCCAGAACCACAACCCGCACCAGGACTATGGCCCCAGCCCAGGGCCACATTTACAGCCATAAGCCAACTGCAGTTTTATTAAACGATTCCCGTTTCAGTCGCCCGCTGCTGTTGTTTAACCTGTGTTTAGACCCGCTTCCCTTTTGGCTGTTAGCCTTTTTTCGTACTCTTATGTTTTTTGGCCGGATTAACACTAACACTCGGTCCATTTAGATCTGAATTGTTTTTGCCTGGCAGCATTTTTAATTAAAATTTAAATAAAGTGTGAACTGCTCTGCATAGCATTTGGTGCTTCAGTCGATTTTTGTTGATGTGAGCCGTAATAGAAGGGATTATAGAAGGGCTCAGATGAAGTCAAATGTTGTAGTTGCATTCTTATCCCAAAATATTGCCAGATTCGTTATTCGTTAGACAGTTATACAAGTCTCTTTAAAATTTAATTCTGCTTTAATTTTCTGTATTTTTGAAGCATTTAAAATGTGTACTCCTACTCGCAGAGCAGCGATTTCTGTGCGTAGTGCACTGTAGTTCATAGTGGAATCAATAGGGATTGATCTAGTATGAATTCCCGAGATTTTGTGGTAATAATCGAATGCTATCTAATCAAGAGAGACTTAGAGATATTAATTAATATTTTTCTATGCTGTATGGTATATTGGGGAAAGGAAAAAGGTATATACATCTCTAAGATGTTATCTTTAGGTCGGCGGTTACACGGATTTAACTTGAGAAAAATCCATATGCAAACAATGGAAAGACCAAATGCCTGACATTGCTTTATGGCCGGGCGAGCCGAGGCGAGGCTACCTCCATATCCTGGTCCATGTCTGGTTAGCACCTTGCACCTTGTTACCGGCTGCGGCGGCACTTTATCATGTGGCATGCTAGCCACACACGAATGCGCTGGCATGGCAATGTATGAAATGCAATTTAGTGACGATGTTGGGGAGGTGGGAAAAAATACCGTCATCGTGGTCAGAGGGCAAGAAGTGGATTACAAATAAAGCACGCGGACGAACCCACACGGAGAGGACAAAATGTTAATTTCCACCAGGGAACGCACACACACACACACACACACACACAGAAGCAAAACCATTGGCAGAGAGACTGGGAGTAGAGGTCGAAGGCAAAACAAACAAACTTCTTGGCCACGTCGAGTTGCTTTCCAAGTTCGCCGTCTCTGTTGGCCCGCTCCTTTTGGCCAATATTTTCTTTACATTATGACTTTATTTTCGGCTGCCCTGCCCACTGCCCTGCCTTGCCCGGCGAAAGCTAAATAAACAGCAACCTCAACAACGACAACTAGTACGAGAACGGGAACGTAGTACATATATAAGAGTGAATGGGCAACATTTAATGTATTTTAATGTGGCATTGCAGAATGGCCGCCACGCCTGCTCGACGCTTTGTCCCAACGAGCAGCTGCCGGCGCCGGAGGACACCATTTCCTGCCGATCGCCGCGCCTCGTCGAGGTGCCCGGCCACTGCTGCAAGATGTGGCTCTGTGAGAATCCAACAGCTGACGGTAAGTCCCGTCCGCATCCTCCACGGCCGGCCATCTTATTGTTTTATAAGAGTGTTTATGGTTGTGGCAGCATCCCTCTGTCCCACTGTCCCACTGTACTGTCCGTCCGCCCCTCCTCCGCTGGTCCGAGTTAATGGCGCTCAGGGGCGTGCCGTGCTGTGTTCGAGGCGTAACTTAATGCTTTTTAAGCGTCGCCCCCACAGTCCAGGCTCCAGTCCGGATTCCACTCCCGTCTTTGGTCCGGGCTCCAGTCCAAAGTGCAGCGCATATTTATGAAGATGAATTATTCCATCAGCAGACGGGGGCCACCAACCGAGCTGGCAGCAGAGGCAGAAGCAGAAGAGAAGGAGAGCAGCAGCATAATTACTTACACAAGGATTAAGTGTTAATTAAACGCGCAGAATGCAATAAATAAACAAGATATTAAGCGCTTCTGCCAGCAGCATAGGGTATACGGCCTTGTCCATGGACGGCCTGGCGGAGATGGAGGCCTTGAAGGAGAACGTTGAGCCCTTGGATCAGAGGCAGTGCCTTCGCCAAATGTTTCACAGCAATTAGGAGTGCCTTCCCAAGGGTATTCCGCGTTCGTTGCCCTGATCTAAGCATCATACTTAGTCCGTTCGTGTCTGCCATGTGGCCATGATTAATGAGTCAGCGGCACTCGATCATGGTAGCAGCAGCATCAGCATCAGCATCAGCATAAGCATAACCATTAGCAACTCTTTTCCACTCGAATCGTTGCAGTTTACGCCACCTGCCACAACAGCACCACCAGCGGCAACTGGACCGCCTGCAGCCGGGGCTGTGGCCTGGGCACGGCCACCAGGCAGACCAGCACCCCCCACGCGGGCTGCCATCAATTGAGCAATTTGCGGCTCTGCGAGAATCGTAGGTGTGACGGCGACCACAACGAGGCGGCTACTGCTGCTGGTTCTTCTGTTGCCGCTGAAGAGGACAATAGGCGGAGGAGTAGCAGCCACTCATTAACAAAGAGAAGGAAACACCATGTGGAGGGCCATGCCAACTCGCATTCCCACACCCATCATCATCACAATAGAGAGCACCAGGAGCCAGCCCATAGGATACGAGTGAGTTGCAGACAAATGGAACACTCTTAAAGGCTTGCCCCTCTAATCCCCATATTTTCTTGCTTGCTCCTCCAGAAGGGCCATGAGTGCCGCAGCATACAGCGCCTGGGGCCGGCCAGGATCCGTTTGGGGGAGTGCGTCTCCCGTAAGCTCTATCGACCGAAGCTATGCGGACGCTGCCATCGCGGACTCAAGTGCTGTGCCCCGTCGGTGTCCACCACGATACAGGTGACTGAAGCAAAGAAAAGATTTCCCCAACAGCCAGCAAAAATCAACGGGGCTAAAAGAGACTCAGCATTAAGCCAGAGCACCTGACGCCTTCGGCAGCTAAGCGCATCAGGACATGACACCCTTTTCAGCGGGTTTCTCCTTTATCCGCATTTCCATTTACCTCCGGGCACTTTTCCGTATTTGCATTCATTCCCATCGTCTTTGCTTGTTGTTTGCCATTTGTCTGTTTCAATTAAATTATCGCTAATTTCGATGCAATCCCATTAAAGGTCGCCTTTGTACAGGTAGATTTCATGGCGTTGATACCCCTTGGCGAAATTTGTAGGTATATACGCACCATAAACTGAATCCAGAAAGGGCCAGTGATATATCTAAATTACAAACACAACAACAGAACTGCGCTGACAACGCCACGCAGGCGCCCGATTTCATTCCTTTGCTGAGAAATTTTCAGTTGAATGCGTTCTAAATTATCTGTAAATATTTGAGCACGATTTAAGGGATAGAAGCGGATTATTTTAATTACTTGTGCCGCCGGAGAATCATAGGAAGCACAGTCGAGCGACTAGTCACACTTTTACGGTGACAGCGACGGTCAAACTTAATGATAAATAAATATCGATATATAGCCCAAATTTATTATTGGTGTTGTACTATTTTTATTTGTAGTGGAATTTACTAAAAGCTCAGAGGCAATTAGCAATCAATTTTGTGGAGAAATTTTGTTACCATCACAAATTTAGAAACTCGTATTCTCCATTTAGATGACCCATTTAAGCTTCTCTCTTCCTCTATCTCGCTCTGGATTTAATTCCGGACAACTAATTGACAGGATATCCCACTGTCGGCTATTCCCATTGGACGATAGCTTCTTGTTTCTGTTTTTGTGTAGTTTATTGGCTTTTGCCTTTTAGTTTTAATTAAAAAGCAAATTGCATTAAAACGTCAATTTGCAGCTGCAGTTGCAAAAACAACAGAAAATGCCAAATGGCGGCAAAATTAAAAGTCAAATGCTGCTTCGATGTCGAAGCCAGAAACAATTTAGCAGCTCTCCGCCTCCTTGCCAGAGTAACCTTTTGCAGGAGGAGCGGGCCTCTGGGCAGGGATTTTTACTCACATCTTGAATCCTTTTTTTCATCCACTCCTTTGTTCTTTTTCCGTTTTTTGGTGTCTCAGGTCGAGCTGTTGTGTCCCTTAAATGCTGTCGATCCAATTAACTACGTACAACAGCGGGTCCTGGCCAGACAAAAGCAAAAGAAGAAGGACGAGGACGATGACGACGACGACGACGACGTAGTTGAGGATGAGTACGAGCAGGAGCATTCACTGGAGCCCGAGGACGGGGTGGACTGGACGCCGGAGCAGCAAAGTGCACAGTTATGGGATACCGTAGCCCTGGAACCAATCGATCAGGAATTCCTGCAATCACATCAGATACAAATTGAGAATAAATTCATTGCCGTCGAATGGATACTGAAATGTGAATGCAGCAAGAATGTGAGTACCGGGGAGAGGGATTGGGTTCAAGGTGGGGTTCAGTGTGCGATTCGGGTCCTGCTGCTGGTCCTGCAGGCCGGGACTCCCGCTGGGACTTGACTTGGGTGTCGTGTCCTGACTTGATGCAGAAGCCCCTATAAGCGTTGTCGTATTACTCTGGCCAGCCATATTCGCATTCCATTTGAGGCAATCATTCGGTCGTGTCCATACTTCGACAGGCATCTCCTTTCTCTCTGTACGTGTCTCCTTCCATTCTCTCTCCTTCCATGTTTCTCTCTATCGCTTTAGCAGCAGATGCTTTCGAAAATTGCTTTCACTTGTCATTTTAATCGCATCTTTCGTTGTTGTAAACGTTCTGTAAGCGCTCCTTTCTTGTTATAACAGATACCCCTTGCAGAGCAACAAAGATGGGGTGTATTAGGTCGAAGGGCAGCTGGAAATCTGTGACTTTTTGCTGAAAATTGTGTGCGCCTGTCCAACTTGTTTGGGTTTTTTGTAAAGCTAAACTCAGATACATTTCTAATTTTTCTGCAGTCACAATCAAACTGTAATTTGATATGGTATATATAATAATTATGCAGCTTAAGGATATATAGCATGGATACGATCGATCGATCTGGAGAGCTTATTACGTAGACTTGCGTGTGAATATACCAAAATTTATGATCGAGTTTTGTCAGTGGGTATCCTCCAACCGTCTCCTTCAATTTCATTGAGCTCAACTCTAGTTATTTCCCCATTCTATGCACAAGAGTGTTTTTGTTTTCCGCAAAAACGAAAAAAATTATTGCTGCAATTTTTTTGTTGACTGCGATGGCTGCGAAGGGAAACGGGGCATGGGGCAGGATGGGATGGTTGGGTAAGACTCCCACCCAGACCCTGTGGGGCATTCACAGTTAGGTGGTTGGCGGCACCCAGCTGTCTGTTGTGTTTTCCCATTATTTCGGCGTATTCATCTTGAATGCGAATGCTTTCGCTGCGAGTGCGCTCTGCTCTGCTCTGCAATTGCAATGATTGGATTTTTATGAATACATTCATCAAAGGCGCTCGCTCGGCTTGCCACTGCCGCAGTGGCAGTGGCTTTTGTACTGGAGCCAGAACAGAACATTTTGTTGCATACGTTACGTAGTCGATTCGCCATTGTGTGAGTATGTGGGTGGGGCAGTGTATCTGTGTGCGATTGTTTTGGCATTTGCCTAAAGTGAAGCATTTGTTTGGCATTTGCTAAGCTCTGAACGGGATTTTGTTGCAATGAAGTTGACTTCAATAATAGTCGATTGGCGAACTGTTGCATGGAAACTGCAGCTTAACAGCGTACATATATCCGAAAAGGGATGCGAATGTGCAGTCAGCAATTGATATTCCAATCAGCAAAAATCAAAATTTCACAATTCATGATGTAATATTTTCCCCTGGAAATAATTAATACGGAGGCTCTAGGAGGCTAATCATAGATATCATTGATTCTAAAATAGTTTGAAAAATTTGTTTAAATTAGAATAGTGAAATACTACAAAAAGGTATTGAAATATTACAAACTTTAGAACTCCAGAAAGGCACAATACAACAACTCGTAAAAACTATTGTTTCAAAGCGTAAGGGAGCGCAGGGCCAATGCGTGGTGAAATTACTTATTAGGTGGTGTCTTCACCACATACAAACATATGTACATTCATATGTACATATGTATGTTTTCTTTCGAGAAAGCATGCAAACATGCAGAAGTAAAACGTTGGCTATCTCTATCTAGCGCTTGTCTCTTGTCGTCACCAGAGCAGATGACACCACCTTTCAGTAATTTCACCATGGCCAACGGCTTAAGAGCTCGAATAATTTAAGAGAGACCTCGCTCTCTTATTACTTAGTTTGAGCGCACTGCCATGACTACTTTTGTTTTTGCTGCTCATATTGCAGGCCGATAAAAACTGCTGATAGCACAATTGTTCTCCCTCAAGTTTAAATTGCCGGGTGGGTTTTATTGCACTGAAATTCGCACGAATTCACGACGAAACAGCAACAATCAAAATCTTATCGGAGCGCCTAATAAGCAGAGCGCTAGCACCAAAGAGCCAAAGCGCCGCAGAGATAGCGCTAAATTAATAGAGCAAGAAAGATCGGCAGAAAGAGGGAGAGAGCAGCTGGACTTAGTGCAAGTTATATTCAGAAGGGTATTGCTAAGCACGCGCTCTCTTTGAATTTCTCCCTTGGTTTGATTCCATCGCATTTTATTGTAGCCACTCGCGTTTCGTGCGAGGTCTCTATGCAAATGCCGCACCTTATACACAAACACCTTGAAAGAGAAAGAGCATGAAAGAGAAAGGGAGAGAGAAACTATTCGTCAGGGCGTGAAAGTGAGCAAACTATATTTAGTCGCCGGCCGAACGCAAAGCGTGTTTTGTGTTGTTTATTAAAGACGCGAACATTGGACGAAGCAGAAGTGTGCCCGCGAGTCGAGTGCCGGAAAACCAACAACAACTGTATCCCCCTCAAAATGAGTGCCGCATCCCTTCGCCTGCTCAGCAAAACCAAACAGACCGCCCGCATCATCATAGTCGGAGCAGGATCGGCGGGTATCGCGGCCGCCACCCGCTTGTTGGAGCAGGGGTTCCGAAATGTGCTGCTGCTGGAGGCGGAGGACCGCATCGGCGGACGCATCCATACGATCCCATTCGCGGACAACGTCGTGGATCTGGGCGCCCAGTGGTGTCACGGCGAGCAGGGAAACGTGGTGTACCAGCGGGTTAAAGATCAGAATATGCTGGAGGCGACGGAGCCCCACTACGACAACTTCAAGTGCGTGCGATCTAACGGGGAAGTGCTGCCCGAGGCGATCGCGGAACCGCTGAAGACAATCGCGTTCAACTCCATTCCGGAGAGACAGACGGATCTGGGGAGCTATGACGGCTCCCTGGGTGACTACCTGGACATGAAGTACTGGAAGGAGCTGGCCAAGCTGCCGCCCATCGACCGCACCATCGCCGAGGAGTTCCTCGAAGTATTCCACAAGTTTGAGGCGTCTGTGGAAGCCGCTGATCACCTGTACGAAGTGTCTGGCCGCGGACACCTGGAGTACTGGCTGTGCGAGGGCGAACTGTTGCTCAACTGGCGGCAGAAGGGCTACAAGCAGTTCCTCAGAGTTTTGATGAAAGCCCAGGACGCTCAGCCAGAAGATCTGGGCGTGCTCAAGGGACACGTGCTGCTCAACAAGCGCATTGCCGAGATCAACTGGGAAGGGGCCGATGAGCTGAAGATCCGTTGCTGGAATGGGGAGATTCACACAGCGGATCACGTCATCTGCACCGTCTCCCTGGGAGTACTGAAGGAGCAGCATAGGCATCTCTTTGTGCCCAACCTCCCCGCGGCAAAGGTGCGGGCTATCGACGGCCTCAAGCTGGGAACGGTTGATAAGTTCTTCCTAGAGTTCACTGCCCCGCCCCTGCCCGAAGACTGGCCCGGCTTCAACTGCCTCTGGCTGAAGAAGGATCTGGACGAGCTGCGCGGCTCGGAGCTGTTTTGGCTGGAGAGTGTCTTTGGATTCTATCCCGTCTCGCACCAGCCCCGCATTTTGCAGGGATGGATTATTGGAGCGCATGCCCGCCACATGGAGACGCTCACCGAGGAGACGGTTCTGCAGGGCTTGCTATGGCTCTTCCGCAAGTTCCTGCCCTTCGAGGTGGCTCCCCCACAACGCTTCCTGCGCACCCAGTGGCATGCGAATCCCAACTTCCGCGGTAGCTACACCTTCCGCTCCACCTACACGGACGAGCTGCGTACAGGTGCCTGGGATCTGGAAGCTCCGCTGACGGATGTCGGCGGTCGGCCACGCCTTCAGTTCGCCGGAGAGTCCTCCCACAAGCACTACTACTCCACCGTGCATGGGGCCGTGGAGACGGGATGGCGTGAAGCGGAACGTCTGAATGTTTACTACAAGGCCCGAACGGCGCAGCTGTGAGCCAAGATGCAAAGGATCAATGGGGCATGAAGTATACAATAAGTACGAGTTTGATGTATGAGTAGAGTGAAAAGAAACGAAGTACAAAACGTAATACATGTGCTTTGTGCGGTACTTGAAAAGTACCTATTGATTGTCCAGCTGTTCAACTTAAATACAGATTTTGATAAGATATAATCGTATCGATTTCAGCATTTATTAGATTAAATGAAAGCAATTCAATATATCAGACCAGTTTGCTGAAAGTTTTGTTTGCTTGCATTATACTTTAAGAAGCTAAATAAATATATGTATGTATAGAGAAGGATATAATGGAGTTGCAGATGTGTGCTTTAAAATTTGAAGAGTTTTCAGTGAAAAAGAATCAGTACGAGTAACACAACATTCGGGGTTGCAAAAGAAGAATAAAAGCCAAACATGTTGACCAACTCATTTGCAGCGAGAGGGCAAACAACATTGTAATTGCGCCTGTTTTTCGGGGCATTTACAAACACTCACTCTAGTTGGCAGGCATGCTGACCATGGGTGTGGGGGGTTGGTGGGATGGTGGGATGGTGGGCGTGCCCCGTTGGGGTCTCGCACATGCAAAAGTTCAGATTACGAGACCAATACGTACATATACGGAAAGCAGAAATCAGTTTAGCACATATCTGGTGCAGGAAAAAAGCGCAGGCGAAAGGCCAAACCAAACAACCACCAGCCAGGCATGGCCACAAAAACCACAACAGCCGTACCAGAAGCAGGACTAGGACCCAGGACCAGGACCCAGGACCAGGACCAGGAACCCACACTAAAGCAGAAGCTAAAGCAAGAGCAGCAGCAGGAGCAGGAACATTGGCCATGAGATTGTGATGCAAAATGCTCCAACAATTGCCGAGCAGAAGCACTTTGGTTGTCCATGTTGAAAATTCAAATTTATGCCAAACCGGGGCCAGAACATTCCAAATTTCACTGCTCTGATGTGACTCCTGGTCCCCACTTGGTCTGGCCTGGTCCGGGGTCCGGTCCTGGCCTGTCCCGACGTCTGCCTTTGTTTGTTTGTTTGCATGTCGCCCTGGTCGTCGTAGTCGTAGTCATATCTGCTTCTGCTTCTGCTTCTGGCTCCCCCCTGCTTTTAGCCCCCACTCAACCCCATCCGCCGCAGTCCAATTACATATGCGACTTTGTCGCCCTTCCAGTTGAAGGAAATGAAGAAAAAAAAGCTCCCCTACAAGTTGGCCACATCTGCTGGAGCTTTGTGCCTGCCCCCGACTCCCAATCTGCCGGTTAATGCGCTGCAGCAGCGGCGGCAGTCGCTAGCTTCGTTGGCATCGGCTTTGGTGTCTAGCCAGCCGGATACGTGGTTTCTAACCCCCGTACTCGCCGTCATGACTCGTCGAGTGACAATGTTAAACAAGTCCCTGTTTGACCAAAGGACACACATTCACCTGACCCGAAGAGTCGTCGTCCTGTTCGTTCTATCCTGTTTTGCCCCTGTCTTTGGTGGGCTTATGTTATGGTCCAGTTAATGGTTGTTATGACTGGCAAAGTATTTCTCTGTGTTTGCTGATGGGGACTAGCACTCGGGATGCGAATGGATGTGAAGTTGGAGTTGAAGCTGGAGTAGGGATGGTGTGAGTGTCTGGCAGCAGGAACACGGCTAGAAGTGGAACATTTGGCTTAATTGTCTTACTAACTAACTTGGTTGGAGTTTATTTCTTTGCCTGTAAGACGTTTTATTCGATTAACCAGTGCATGCAACGGGGTTCCAATCTGGTTACACATATAATTTCAGGCTATGATCAGGCTCTGACCTGATAAAACTCATTCAGGCGATCCGCCTCACGCCAGCCCGTTTCTACGGCCCCATGCACCGTGCTGAAGTGGGTCCTGCTCGAAGCCTCACCAGCGAATTGCAATCGAGGACGGCCGGAGACATCCGCCAGCGGGGACTCCAGGTCCCAGCGACCCGTCCGCAGCTCGTCCGCGTACGTGGGTTGGAAGCTATAGCTGCCGCGAAAATTGGGATGGGAGTGCCACTGAGTGCGCAGGAAGCGCTTCGGATGGGGCACATCGAAGGACAGGAACTTGCGGAAGAGCCAGAGCAAGCCCAGGAGCACTTTCTCCTCGGTCAGCGTCTCCATGTGGCGGGCATGGGCTCCAATTATCCAGCCCTCGATCAGACGGGGCTGATGGCCAACGCGATGGAAGCCGCAGATTCCCTCCAGCCAAAAGTTCTCGGTGCCACGCAGCTCCAAAAGATCGGCCTCCAGCCAGAGGAAGTTGAAGCTCAGCAAACTCTCTGGCATTGGCTGTTCGGAAAACTCCAATAAGAACTTATCCACCGTTCCCAGCTTGAGGCCGTCGATAGCCCGCACCTTTGCCGCGGGGAGGTTGGGCACAAAGAGATGCCTATGCTGCTCCTTCAGTACTCCCAGGGAGACGGTGCAGATGACGTGATCCGCTGTGAGAATCTCCCCATTCCAGCAGCGGATCATCAGCTCGTCGGCTCCCTCCCAGTTGATCTCGGCAATGCGCTTGTTGAACAGAACGTGTCCTTTGAGCACGCCCAGATCCTCTGGATCATCGTCCTGAACATTCATCAGGACTCTGAGGAACTGCTTATAGCCCTTGCCCCTCCAGTTGAGGTTTGGATCGCCCTCGCTCTCGGCGAAGGTCAGATGGTTTTGCGGGGACAGTTCAAAGAGGTGATCGCAGGCGTCAGAGCTGCAGATCATTTTCTTGATGCAGTCCAGGATCTCCTTGGCAACGACGCGGTCCATGGTTGGGAACTCCTTCCAGTACTTCTGGGTCAGGTAATCACCCACAGAGCCTTCGTAGTCAGCGTCCGTCAGGGTAGACGAGGCATCCATGAAGTTCTTAAGAGCCTTCGCTTGATCCTCACCAAGCGTTTCCTTGTTTGAGCGAAAAAAGTGCATGGTAGGGTTGCCTGTCCTGTCGAGGAGATCCAATTCCTTGACCCGCTCGTATACCACGTTTCCCTGCTCGCCGTGACACCACTGGGCGCCCAGATCGATGGCATTATCCGCGAATGGGATCGTGTGGATGCGTCCCCCGATGCGATCTTCGGCCTCCAGTATCCGTACGTTCTTGAATCCCTGCCCAAGCAAACGGGTGGCAGCCGCAATGCCCGAGGCCCCGGCTCCGATGATCACAATGCGTGCGGTTTCCTTGTTCTTGCCCCACATCGATCGGGGGACGATGGCTGGAGGTGCTGTGCAGAGGCTCATCTTTCAGCGACTTATGATACACGTTGCGGAAAAGTGTTGCTTTATATGCTCCCGACTTGCTGGCCTATCTATTTGCGGTTGTTTGTTGCTATCATGACATTTGCATTGTCCCATTATTTCTTTTACCAGTGTATGAAGCTACTATATACTACTTATATCGGGGGTACATTATCGTTTATCGGCTAGATAGGGGACAAGCCAGTCCCCCATCAGTACATTAACTGCAGTACTAACAATTTCGTGTGCAGCCCAAACTCGAATGTCAAAGCTGTAGTACTAATAACATAATAACATAACACCTTAAGTCGGCGGATGACCCAGAACCTTTTATGTAATAGAGAGATAATAGATAGCTATACATACATTAATAGCCAGAAAATATTTCCATGGACCAAAGCCCTGTTAGTTCCTATATTTCGTATTCTATTGTTTCTGTTTTTAGTCTTTATCTAGCCCTTTGTCTGTGCCAGTTTTGCAGTTCTTGTGGTTGTGCTCTATCTGTGTTATCTGCAGTCCCCAAGGGGTATACTTTAATACAGCGAAAATAATCTTAAAGGCACTCGTATCTACATATGTACATATAAATATGTATGAACATATATAAAGAGCAAATATCAATAGTTAAATTATCAAATATTCGAAATATTCAAGCAGGGGCCTGCAAATTGTTTCATAATTATATTTGTTTAACCAACAGGGGCCTGAAAAGTAATAGAATGCCCATAAATATGCATATTTCCATTATTACCGAATTTATATTAAAATTTAACACGTTTTTCCCCTCGTTCGTCTATGTCTTTTCGCACACGCAGCATTGCAATGGTGACAGGAGCAACATCAGCAGTAACATCCCCCATGACAACATGTCTAACACGAATAAATATGGTTATAACAATTACAAAAACCATATTAATGAAGGCCAACAGAAACCGGTGCCGAGGCCGAGGCAGATGCAGCGGCAGCGGCACAACCACGAAAATAATGGCGAGCCAAATGAGCAAACCAACAACGACGACAACGATGCGACAGCGGATGTGGCTAACAGCAACATGGATATAGACCACAACGATATAGACAACTCTTCCTCGGAACAACAGCCTGATATTATACCCTATCCGTTGAGCGTGGGCGAGACCAGTTGGAAGACCGCTAAACTACGTCAAAAGCAGCAGCAGCAAAATGAACAGAAGCAACATCAGCAACACTGGCAACATTTCACATAGCCCGAACATAAATCTCACTTGCGATAGAAGAAAAGTCGATCGGGAAAGGCCAGGGAAGGAAAGAAATCAGTAGGAGCCTCTGGTTAAAGGATGAGGAGGAACCTCTGGTTAAAGCAGAAGTAGGAATGGGATCAGAAGGTGTAGGTTTGGGGAGAGTAGAGTTTAAGATTTGTACAGCATAGCGATACTTAAAAAGACCATTCCCAATGGATGGATCGATAGATGGATGGATGGATGGATGGCTGGATGGATGTAATGGATGGATGGTGATGATTGTAAAGAGTACGAATACGCGAGTGGAGTGGAAATTCGATGGTGATGCAAGTTATACTTAGGATTTGAACATATCGAGGCCGTAAGTTTGGGTATGTGAATGATAGGGATAATCGAAACCCAAGGGCAGAATATACACCGCAAGACAAGACAAAACAAAACAAAGCAAAAATGAAACACTAGTCAAATATTTCCAAATATTTTTGCAAGCATCTAAGAAAGGCAAAGACGCAAATAAGAATATTTCCCCGATATAATAATAACCTACTTATACACATACATACATACATATGTACTTAGCAATATTAATTTTTTTTTAATAGATGTAAATGGCTTGAACAATTTGAGAAGCAAAGCGTATTTTGGTCTAAATTGCCGACAGGGGAATGGGAACGGGAACGGACGGTACCAAAAATCCATAAACCCTGGAAAGCAACTTACTGCTAATTCGTGTGCATTCAAGTTATAACTGTGCTATATACTCACTTGTATTCAGATCTACACGTAAGCCCTATCTATAAATGTGTAAGACTCTGCTTGAGGAGGACATATGTAAGCTTAACAAAGAATTTAGATGGCTACAATAAATGAATGTAAATTAATAGCCAGGGTGCTGGCTGCGGAGGAGGCATCTCCATGGCGACCACCCTGGCCATAGTTCCCTCTTACTAGTCCCACGAACCAGACATACATATCCCCTGGATTATCCCCTGATTTAAGTCATTTAATGAACGCAGCTTATCCACCACACCCATAGCCATATCAATTGTACGAGTATCGATGTAAGTTTCAGACTAAAGTCAACTCTTAGCTAGCATCGGAGCTGTACGGCCATCCGTGCGAGGCCCGAGAAATGCAAACGATATACACATAAAATAAATGCGAAATTTAATGAAACGTACTCCGAGTTTTTACCAAATAGTCACAAAATCATTCACTTTGATTCATTTGTTCGATATCACATTATCGATCCATTTGTCCCAGAGTTTCTGCCACTTGCTGAAGGCCTCGTCTTTCTCCTCTCCCTTCAAGGCGCTGTACCTGATCGAGTTGAGGGCTAGGCACTTTAGGAACCTCAGATCCGCCTGCATCGGTGCTATCCCCAGAAAGGCAAAGTAGAAGTCGTGCGACAGTGGGGCAACACGCCAGAACGAGGGATCGTCGGAGGAGATGACAATGGGCACATTTGCGGCTATCATCAGGGCCGCCGGATGGTTCCGATAGTCGACGCCCAGCTGCAGCACCTGGTTGGAGACGGGGCACACCTCTATGGCGATGTCGAGCAGGCGGCACAGCTGCATGGAGAGCGTGTGCTTGGTGATGGCGTAGCCGTGGCCAATGCGCTTCGTGCCCAGCAGGATAGCATCGATCAGGTTCTCATCGATGGGCGATCCGAACCAGTTTGTCTCGCCCGCGTGGAAGTAGAAGTTGATGTGCTCGGGCATCTTCAGCAGCGGCTCCACAAACTCGATGAGCGGTCGCCCCAGCTCCTCCTGGCCGACCAGGTCAAAGCCAATCATGAAATCTGGAAATTCTTTCTACAAATGGGTGGAAAGGATGAGTAAGAGTGGGTTTCTAAGGAATAAATAGAACCTACATTCAGGGCCGCCGCAGTTTTTACATATTCCTCCACTACCTTGGGCTCGACTCCTCGCAGAGGGGCATAGATCAGCTTGGAGCCAATGAAGTCCGGATGCGAGGCCTTGAAACGTTCCATCTCGGCCTCGTAAATGGCCACCGTATCCCTGATATCCAAAATCTCGCCGCCGATGCAGTAGAGCGGCGGCAGCAGGGATCTCAACTCGAGATACTGCACCCCGTCCTCGTAGAACTCCTTCAGGGCGTTGTAGTAATAGTCGCCCCAAACGGGGGCGTAACAAAGGAGACCGTCGAGGAGAATGAAAATGCCCATGAAGTGGCTCCAGGCCTGGTTGTTCGACGTGAAGTTAGATAAGGGATACATACTGAAGCGCTGCTGAAAGTATCGTCGGACATTCTCCTCGCCGTGCCGTTTTCGAAAGTCCTCCATCGGCTCCCAGCTGCAGGCCTCTATGGCCTTCATGGTGGGCTTTTCTAGAGCGAAGCGAAAGGCAATCGCCTTGCAGCCCTTGTCCGTGGTGCAGATCCACAGGTTCTCGCGGTACGTAAGCTCGATGAGGAACTCTGTGCTGCACAGGGCCGTGTCATGGGCGTGCAGCACGCCTCCCTTGGGCATTTTCTTGAGGATGTTGAAGATCGGTGACTTGCGGATGTGGTTCAGCGTCTGGAAGATGTGCTGGCCCGGCGAGAACTTGGATGGATCGAGCAGGCCTCTCTTTATCTCTTCTTTCTTCACTGCCATGATCACAGCGTTGGCCGCCAGCTCCTTTTCGTTTAGCCTGACCCGGTGGCCCATGCCTATCATCTGCTCCAACTTGGCGACGGTGTTGCGTAGGATCTTGTAGGCCGACGGCGACGTCTTCCGCAGACTGCGACTCATCGAAACCGTGGTATGGCCGATCTTGGCGCAGTCGGTCGAGTCATAGCGCAGGGCCATCAGACCTGGGCGCCCTACCCAGAAAGCCAAGCGTGGCAGATACTTGGACATGTAGAATTTATCATAGAATGAAAAATCCTGTGATTTACTTAATTTATTTACTACTCGTATTTGTTAGTATGTGTCAGTTCCGTCCCGAATGTGTCAATAGGCCGCACATTTGTTAGCGCCTCAAATCCGCTTCCACCGTTACGCCGCACAAAATGGCGGCCAACGCATTTCCGCGACCCCCGCCACCTATGTGCTTCACATACTCGCACACACGCGGCTTTTATTAGTAATTTATGGCCCTGGCTCGAGCTCTGCTCTGGCTTGGGCTTTGGGTCGGGCTCTGGTTTTTTATGCATCCGCGCGTCCCCTCAACACCACATTAAATGTGCACGACATCAAATTGATGAGACTGCCGCACTGGCTGGCACTGGCAGATGATATGGCTACGACCCACTCACAACACTCGCCCATCAATTTTATGGCCTCCTACGAACCTGCTGCTGCATCCGCCGTCGACCCATAAAACTTTCCCAGCTCATTACCAGCGCGAGCCAAATCAAAATCGAACCCGGTTTCGTTGCAGGATGCCGGAGGCACCATCACCATCAGCATTACCAGCAGAAGCTGAAGCAGCAGAAGCACCATCAGCAGCCTTTGCCACTAAACAGTGGAACGTAAAATTGAAACATTCGCAGCAGTTGTATGGCTCCCATCCAGAGCTGAGCTCAAAGGGATGTTGGTCGGATGGATGGTTGGATGGATGGATGGCCGGGTGGCTGGGTGGCTGGGTGGGTGGTGACTCAACGACCATATAGCGCATATTCATTAAAATTCGCATCCACTTTGCAGTGCACTCGGCACAGCAGCACACCGAGAGGCAATGAGAGATTTATGCGGGCTAAAACAGGAAAAACCGAGCAGCCTTGACTGCACTACATGAGGCTTCACTTAGCGATGGCATCGTGACTATAAATTGATGATTATGGGCTCAGTCTCAGAGAGAAAGAGAGAGAGAGAATCGTACAGTGCGATATCGTATTAATGGAGGCAACAGAAAGAGAGATACTAAAGCTGCCATAACTAACAGCGAAATATAGCCCTATCTTGAATGGAAACTGATGATTACTTATAATAGATTCTCGGGCATTATATGATATGATTATTAGTTGTATAACTTTCGTGTAGATGTACTAAAGGTTTACTAGTTGGTAGCGCCATGGAATGCATATCAGTGCTGCTCACGTCCCCATCTCCCATCCTCCTCTCCGCCTTGTTGCCGCCTCTCTCATTAGGATTATTGCTCAGCCTTCCTTCGTTTGAGCTGGCAACATAAATTGCATGGACTTTTAGTCGCTGTTCGGGTTCTAGTTCTCGTTTGTATGTCGGCTACGACTAGCAAAAGTTCTTTATTGCGATAGTTTTCTTCTTTGCCACCAAGAGCAGGCCTCACAACCTGGAGAAAACCTCAAAGCGTGGCACACACAATCTCTTTGGTTCGAGTATGTTGGACACAGAGTTGTTAATGGAGAGAGAAAGAGAGATATGTAGAACAGGAAGGAACAGACTTAAGTCTAACTAAAGACTAATCCATAACAATTAGCTTACAACAAACTGACATATGGGATAAAAAAAATTGTATATGGGCATGGCTCTGAATGGATGCAGCTGCAGATGCGGATGGGGATGCAGAAGTGTGTAGGGGGACCGACTAGCGTCGCAGGCCAGAGCTCAGCAGGGAGAATGCGACCAGGAACGCTGCCACCACCCGTGCTAGTCAATCGAGGTGCAGACTGGATGATCCACGGTTCGGGGACTCCTCGTTAACATCCGCAATGAACTGATCCCACTTGGCCTGCCACTTCTCCAGGGCCTCGAACTGCTGCTCTGTCGGCAGAGAGCTATACTGGATGGAGTTGAGGGCCAGCTTCTTGAGCAGCCGCAGATCCGAGTGCTGCGAGGCAATTCCCAGGAAGGCGATGTAAAAGTCGTGCGTCAGAGGCGTGGCCTTCCAGAAGGATGGATCGTCCGAGGAGATCACCACGGGATAGCCATCGGCGAAAAAGGTGGCACAGGGATGGTTCCGGAAGTCGGTGATCAGCTGCAGCACCTGGTTTGAAATGGGATTCACTTCAATGGCCACGTTCAACTTCTTCAGCATATCGAGGACCACCGGATGCTTGACCAGACCAAAGCCATGTCCAATGCGCTTTGTGCCCAGCAGAATGGCATCGATCAGATTCTCATCGACTGAGGAGCCAAACCAGTTCGTCTCGCCGGCATGGAAGTAGAAGTCAATGTCCTCTGGAATCTCCAGCAGTTGATCGATAAACTCGCTGAGCGGTCGTCCCAACTCCTCCTGTCCCACCAGATCGAAGCCAGCTATGAAGTCAGGATATTGGGCCTATCAATGAAGGATGCACAGACTTATGATTAATCCATTCAGCATATATCAAGTGTTTCAGGGGAACTCACCTTGATCTCTTTCAGGGTTTCAATGTAGCTGAGCACGCCTTCGGGATTGGTATTACGAATGGGTGCATAGATCATCCGAGAGCCAATAAAATCGGGATTGTCTTTCTTGAACTTCTCCAGTGTCTCCACATAGATCCTCACCGTGTCCAAAGGGGTGTAAACAGTTCCCTCCAAATCATACAGCTGCAAGTAGACGGGAAAGATTAGAGTACTATGTTCTGGATGATGGCTGAAAAGCACCCACCGTTGGTACCACCGATCTGAATTCCAGGTACTGCACTCCATCGTCGTAGAACTCCTGCAGGGCGTTGTAGTAGTAGTCGCCCCAGGCGGGGGCATACATCACCAGCCCGTCGAGCAGGCTAAAGATGTCCATGAAGGTTGACCAGGCGGCATTGTTGTCCTCGAACTTCTTGGTGGGGTACAGGGTGAGATGCTCCGACAGATACTCGTCCACATTCTCCGCCCCGTACTTCTGTCGCACCTCGGTCAGCAGAGTCCAGTTGCAGTTGTCCTGCGCCTGGGGCTCCGTCTTGGCGAACCGTAGAATGGAGAAGTCGAGGTCGTCCTTCTGCAGACAAGCCCACAGGCTGTCGTAGTATGTCAGCTTGATGATGGACTCCGTGCTGCAGAGGGCCGTGTCGTGGGCGTGCAGGACCGCCCCCTTGGGCATCTTCTTGAGGAAGTGGAAGAGTTGCGTGTCGCGGATACCGTCGAGGACATCAAAGATGTGCTGGGCCGGCTTAAAGAGATGCGGCGTGAGCAGTCCCTCCGTGTACTCGTGCAGCTTGGCGGCCATGATGGTCTCATTGGCCTGGAGCTCGCGTTCCGTCAGCTCCAGGTCGTAGCCCAGGGAGCGAGACTCCTCGTAGCGGAAGAAGGCGTTCCGCAGGGTCTTGTAGGTGTCCGGAGTGGGTCGACTCCTGCCCAGAAGCGCCTCCACATGGGGCGTGTTGCCGTACAATGACATCAGTCTCCGTTCGGCTACATTCTTGTTCCGTGTGCGCGACTCAACCGGATCTGGGCAGACGCACATGAAGAGGCCCACAGCCAGAACAGCGATAAGATTATAATATCTTCGGACAAGCATTCTCATAGTTCGTCTAATCCCGACTAGGTCCGTACTTCGACTGATGTCTGGTGGCACTTAAGAAGCTCCGATTTCAGTTTCGATGCCCCCACGCTATCTGAAATGATTGGGTGGCCCATTCAATATTTGGCATTATCTTTGATTTAACACGCGTTCAACCGGATTTCACTGCGATAAGGATAGGGAGGAGTGGGACGCATTCCCACCAGGTTGGTAACCGACTTAATCGCAGCCAATCTGGCATCTTGATTTACGAGTGAACACAGATAAGATTGCATAACCATACTCGCAGCCCTGGCCATAGTTAAGCCCTGGCATTCGAATTCGAGTACCTTCTACTTGGCTATGCTATGAGTTTATTGAGCCGTTTAACGAGCCGGAAGCCATACGAGCCAACAAGTGCAAGGAAAACTACCAGAAAAAAGCTCTTTGCTTTTATATATACCCTCATTGGACCTCAAAACTCTCTCAATTCCTTTAGAATTCATTAAAAAACCAAGTGCAAATTTTAAATTTACGTTTTGTAGCACTTATCGGTTGCAAAATTTTGCAACACTACAATTTGGCCACTAAAAAATGCAGTTCTTCCATTTATCTTGAAGCTTCAAAATATTCTGAATTTCAGAAATCATTAATAATTCTCAACTGGCGATTCAATGAAGATTTCGATTGAAATTGTTGAGCACTTATATGCAGGACGCATAATTATACAACACTACTTGCAACTGGCAACTTTGGCCTATAAAAGTCATCAAAGGAATTCTGTACTCTTTCAAGGAAAGAATCCGACTTAACAAATAGTTTAATAGCCGGAAAATTACTCATCAAATTTAATTCATCTAGCCAAAACCCTAGTCAAAAGTACACGACATGTCAAGTGTCAGAGTATCACGAAGAATCTTCGATTGGCGCGATGTTGGTCTGGTTCACAAACTCTTTGATCCACCTGTTCCAGCTGCAGCTCCACTGGTTTATGGCCGACGTCCGCTCCGTGCAGCTTAGGGAGCTGTACAGGAAGGAGTTCAGGGCCAACTGCTTGAGCAGGCGAATATTACCGCGCCCACTGACAATGCCCACAAAGGCCACGTAGAAGTCGTCGGTGAGGGGGGCTGCGTCCCAGAAATGGGGATAATCGGAGCCCATAACGATGGGGTAGCCTGCAGCTAGCAAATACGCTGCCGGATGCTCGCGGAAATCTTGGATATACTGCATATAGTGGTTAGAGAGCGGACACAATTCTACGGCCACCTGCATGTGGCGCATGGTCCGCAAGAGTTCTGGATGTTGGGGGATGTTGAGGGCATGCCCGATCCTCTTGCTGCCCAGAAGCACTGCGTCGATGAGATTCGCATGTGGTTTGGTCATGTCCGGGCAGCGGGACTCGCCTGCCTGGAAGTAGAAGTCAATCTCGTCGCCAATATGCAGGAGCTGTGTGGCCTCGCCCAGTCCTGGCATCGTGCACTCGTCGCCGAACGTGTTCAGATCGAGGCCGGCAAATAGATCGGGAAAGTGGGCCTGATGTGAGAGCAGAGAGGGACGATTAGAGGCGGGCGGATCCCCAGAGGATTAAAAGGCGAAGTACGGACCTTCAGTAGGCGGGCATTTTCCACATACTGATCCATGCGGCTATCATTCAAGTCCCTGGCCGGCGTATATATTATCTTGATGCCAATGAAGTCGGGGTAGGTGGACATGAACATTTTCGTTATGGTAACGATCGAACTGACTGTGTCCAGAATGGTGAAGTTAGTGCCCTTCAGGTCGTACAACTGGGGGAAGGGCGGATAATGGGGGAGTTAATCAGGATACCAGTACCAGCACGATCATTATTCTTCACTCACAAGTGGCAGGGAAGAGCGCAGCTCCACATAGTGGACGCCATCGCTATAGAAATCCTCGAGCATTCGGAACAGGAAGCTCGACCAGAGGGGCTGGAACGTGACCAGGCCATGGATGAGGCGATGGCTCCGGCGCATGTGGCAGGCCAGCTCTGCAGAGTTCTTGTAGCCACCCTCCCGGAGCGAGAGACCCTCCTTGAGCATCTCCTCGTAGCGGTCTCGCCACTCGAACGTGTGGTAGTTGCTCATCAGCATCCAGATGCATTTGTAGTCGTCCGCAGACGGACGAATGTGGGGAAAGACGTTGGAGAACCGAAAGTTCTCGAACACGTGGTCCATGCCGACACAGACCCACAGGTCGTCGCGGTACGTGAGCTCGATGAGAATTTCAAGCTTCATCATGCCGGCATCATGGATGTGGAGCAGTCCGCCCTTTGGCATGCTCTTGAGCATACCATACAGATCCGTCTCACTGATCTTGTGGTCTTTGAGGAACTGCGGCGTGTTCGAAGAGTAGTTCACCCACAAGCGTTGCACCTCCATGTCCGCCTGCTTGACTAGCCGGGCATTGGCCATCTCTTCGAGGGGACTCAGGTTCAGCTTGCCCCCCACTTGCATCCGTTGCTCCTTTGCCACCATGCTGTGGTGCTTCCGGGCAAAGAGCTCCTCGGGAGTGGCCTGTAAGTCTTTTAAGGGCGTAAGAAAAAACATGGCCACCCCCAACATGGTGAATGCGGCAAACAAAGCCAACGAAATGGCTGCGTTGAAGCACACGGTGTCATATTTGAGAGTGCTCCGCAGCCGGGGGTTTGGGGGTAGCTCCCCCGCAACGTCCAGGCGGATCACTCTTGCCGCCAGCGGAGAATCATGGGAATGGTGCTCTCCATTCTGGTATAACCCTCTGGTATCCATTTTTATTGAATTTTGTAAAATTTTGTTTCTGCTCCTTCAAATTCTATAATCCAAAATGTACTATATTTTCCAGCTCATGTTCGGCTCTGACTCACAAACCAACACCCACTTAACAGATACGACCAGGCAGTTTTTGGTTTTTTCAACGGCACTGTATGAGTGTCCAAAGATCCGCCTTATCAATGGGTTTCCAGCGACAGCTCTTTGTTTACGGCGCTCAGATAATGGCTGGCCTGCGATCTATTGTGATTTGTTATCCCCCACCCAATGATTTGCCACACTCGAAATAGTTGAACTCTGGCTCCTCCGCCCCCCACTGAGCCACCTTGGCCTTGGACACATGTGCAGTTGGAGTTATCGGGGAGGGTACTCGTATTAAAAATAGCCCAACTCTTGGCTGTCTCTCTCGCTCAATGTCTCTGGGTATCTGTCCCGCTCTCTGGCAGAGAAAGAGAGAGAGAGAGACAGAGAGACAGCGAGGCAGGGAGTGGAAATGTGAAACCCGTATCGGTTTTGTCAGCTAGGGGTTGCACTTATGCTCGAATTGGAGTCGCCACCACGGCTAGCAGGAGACGAGGCATGGCACTCAGCGGGCAACAAACAGTGGTGTGAGAGTGGTAGGCCATGGGAAAATATGAGATTGAAAATATCATTCGACCTGTTTGGGCTGCCTTGTGTATTTTAGAGGAATAAAATATACGTATATTATATACATAGATAAATACTTCTTCTTTACACAACTCGTTCCACTGTGCAATCTGTTTGCCACAAGATCTGCGCAATCACGAGTGGAAGTGGATGATTTCATGTCCATACCCATGTCCATGTGCGGCATGTTTCTGTTGGTGGTGTTGGTGTCGATGTCGATGTCGATGTCGCCTTGCACTCAGTGCAATCGCACGCACTGCAACCCAACGGGCGGCGGTGGCACAGCTGCGATTTCAGGGCCTCGCTGAGGGCGACACTGATTCGCGACAAGGGTTCAGACAGCGGCGGCACAATGCGGCACGCGCTTCCGCCCGCTCCTCTCAGTTCGGAGAGTCGACTCAGCGAGGAAAGTAGCACCAGTATGCGACTGAGGAGCAGCAGACAGACAGTGCGAGTATTTGGTACAGCAGAGAGTCACCAAGCTGTAAAAGGAGTCAACGATTGCCCAACCCTCACAGAACTCAACGACGACTGCCTGCTGCTAATATGCGAGCGGCTCTCCATTGACGACCAATGGAGTCTCCTGCAGCTGGACGAGCGCCTGGGCCAGCTGGTGCTACGGATCTGGTGTCGCAAATATGCCCAGCACTTCGACTGTGGCCGGGAGCAGCTATTAAAGCGTCTAAGCGCCAAAGAGCAGAGTCAACTCCTGCATCTGCTGAGTTCACGGACGAGGGCGCTTTTCAACCTGAATGGCAGCAGCGGTGGCTGTCGGCAGTGGCTCAACCGGAAACGGAAATGCTTGGCCCACATGCAGAGGATGAGCTTTGTGGAGAGCGGGGCATGGGTGCTGCATCGATTGCCGGCAATCTGCCCCAATTTGGTGCACCTGCAGCTGGGCTTGGGCGAAGGAATAACACCGGTGGATCTCCACTTGCTCTTCGGACAGCTGAAACACTTGCGGGTGCTTGAGCTGCAGCCGGGATGGAGCTGCCCTCGCCCCTGGACGGACATCAAATATGGAGAAACGTTGGAATCCCTGAAGTTGCCGGCGTGCCTGGTGCGTGCCACGGCTACGGAGATAATGCGACTACCCCGACTGCGCCGGTTGACGGGTTTCCTCTGCCACAAGCACACGGATGATGACAAAGCAAATGCCGTTGGCAGCGAGGCAGCCGGCGCCACCATCTCGGCCTGCCTCAAGGCATTACAGGACAGTAGAGGACCTGGAAATGGACACGGACACGGACACGGACACGAACCCCCTGCCTGTCAAATTGTGGGACTCCATTTGCAGTGTCAACTCGATTCGAGCCTCCTACGTCTCATGGTGGAAGCGGGCTCAGGGGACACCTTCCGCCTGCATCGCTTTGCTTGGCACTCGCAGCTGACGGTGCACTATGATGTTTCGGATGGTAGCATCAAGTGGCTGCCACAGCAGCCGCGAGCCGCGCATGCCCTGCTCCCCTTCCTCGCCGACCAGGCGGACAGTCTGCGTGAATTGGATTTCACGCGGAATGTACATGCCACGACCACGTTCCTCTCACTACTGAGGGAGCAGCAGAAGCAGCAGCAGCAGCGGCTGGGTTACGGCTACCGTGAGTTTTCCGTTTGGCATGATGCCTGCCCCAGGATGACAGCTACGACACCGCACTCAGATCCGGATAGAGATACAGACGCGGATACGGATACGGATGCGGAGCAGACAAACGATTTGGCCTTTGTCACGTTGGAATTGCAGCACTTGTCTAATGAACAACGGATACGGGCACGGGAGAGATGACAGGGATGAGGCAGATTGCTAAGGCTTGCAAATCAAATGTATTCTCTCTCTGCCTGGAAATGTGCTATGAACATCCTGTTAAAGTGCATTTACAATAAGTAATAGTGCCATAAAATCTGTTGTAAATACATATTCAAATAAATCCATACCAAATCTTTTAAATAATATTATTTCATTAGTTAGGCTAAAGCTATTGGCCATTTCAGGACGATCCTTTGATCGATATGTAAATCAGAACAACGGACAGATCGAAAAAAAGAAATACCATCTAAATGTCAAGCCCTACCTGTAATTTTTAAACATTCATGCAAGCTGGGATTTTAATGTCTCTACGAGTATTCAAAAAAGTTAGTACACACAAAGTTCACAAGAAAATTCTCAGTTAATATCGATGAAATTTTTCTTTCCGTTTTCATCAATCAAAGCAAAATTTATTTTGTTATACCCGACCTGCATTCGAAAGAATCATTTGTGCTGTTCTCAGGAGCGAACGACTCTATGTAAGTAGACGATCCTCTGTGGAGGATTCTTCATAGCTCTCCTGAACTGACAACCACATCCCTTGCTTAGCCGCCAGTTGGTTGAAATAGTTGTTTAATGGAACAACTCGATGGATACAACCGACATAACGCAGCCTAGTTTTTTAAACGCCGTTCAATCGTTTACCTTCGAGAAGAGCCGGAAGCATCAGAGGCAGTCCTCCATGGATCGAACTGTGAGTATCTTTGGATTATCCAAAAGACTTGCGAATATTACTCTCCAATAATCCATTAAAGTGCCAAGGTCAAGAAGGACTTTTGTAACGATGTCATAGAGCAGACCCTCAGATGGAGCGGGAGCTTCAACGATTATGCCTGTGATATCGCTTTCGCCGGACCAATGCCTCAGAAGATGGGCCTTGTTGTTCCCATCACATGCTAGAGGCCATCCGGTGGTGAATCGATTATGAATGGGAGAAGATCGGCAATAATTATAAGAGTAGGAACTCTATGGAAACGGAAATATTTGCACGGAACAGAGGAACGCGGCCGCCACCAAAGGTAAGTGCTCCAGGAAGTGCTGTGCCGTTTGTAGATTGTATCTCCACCCAGACCTCCACCCAGAGGCCCTCGATATCAACAGATGACTGTGACTGAACTTAAAGAACGGCGCACAAATAGGTTTGGTCGTATGCTCAGGTCTAGCTCGCCGGATGGTCGGGGTTCTTCCTCACCTAATTGTACTATCGTACTCCTCTACATTTATATAGTGGACTTTATGGAAAACTGTAAGTGATTATACAAAACAAAGTACACTGAAATGCTGATGGCGCCGACACGAGAAATGAAAAGCCCTACTGAACTCGTTCTATTTGGAGGGGACCTAGATGTTGATTGTCCCTCTATTCTGTACCCACCCTACCATGACAATGACTTCGAGTTCCTGCATTGTCCCTTGATCCTGGCTCGGATACGCGACCGACCATTTTTATGATTTCAAAGATTCATTTCAATTCACATTGATTCATTAATATAAGGTAAGACTTCAACTTCAATAGGCAGCTTAGGACAACTTCCCTTCAACATTGGGTATGTTACCACGTGCACGGCACTAACATGAGAACATACCTTCTTTTGCTTCCAGCTTATATATGGGGAAATATGTGTATATGGTTCCGAATAGCACTATATTAATTAAGGAATTAAGGATCTTTCCGTTTTCCTTACTCTCATAATTATTGCGAATCTCCTCCCGTAATCGATTCGCAACTGGATGGCCTCCAACATGAAGATAGGACTAACACGGTCTTTCTTCTCAGGCATTTATCCGGCAAAGGCGATTTCAAAGTCATATTCGTTAAAGTTCTCGCTCCAAATGATGGTCTGCTCCTCGACATATTTACAACAGTTCATTTTGCCGTGGCATCGAAGAACACTGCATTCAGATTCGGTGAGTTTTTATTATGAAGTAGCGATAAACATTGAAAATGTATGTATGTAACCAACTGCCACAGATAGAAGCCGATTCGAATGGGAATGTCAATGCATTCGAGTCAAATTTCGTTAATTACAGCATCCGCATGACCGTTTATTCGGGCACAACGGATCCGAAGCCGTAGCAGTCCTCGAATGATTGGATCTTCATAGTAAACTTGCAATTACAAATGTACAAAAATGCAATGAATTGCATTGAATCGAATGAATAAAAGACGAGCGCTCTTTTATTTGAATTATCCCTTATCTGAGAACTACATAAATACCAGTACTGTATTGCCGCATCGATGTGGTATTTTAATTTGATTGTGAAGTAGTCACCCTAACAATTTAGCGGTTGGACGGGGAAATAAGAACTATAGAACAAGCCCATTTGCAATATGTATGTATGTATCAGGCTCATAACCGTATACGATTAACACGTTTGATCGATAAGTATATCTACAAAGTCACCACATCATCTTATTCCATGCGTCAGAGCCTTCCGAAATACTTTTATCGCCCCTATTTATGGACTCCTGACCGAATAAGTAAGCAAATCCAAGTCGTAAATTGAATATTTCGTAATTTCAATTTCAATTTGCAACCAAAATTTATATGAATCCAGACATTTGTGTACCAAAGTTAGCTTTGGCTGAAATCTTATTTTTTTGGGAAGGCCTATTGAAAGAAAATATTTAGCCAAACATAGCCATATGGGGTGGCTACAAATAGAATCCAGTCCAGCATCAATAAACAAATGTGTGTTCCGTCTTATTTTCTGGATTTATTTTGCCAATTAAAGTTCAAGGCCATGGTTGAGGTGGCTGCAAGTGCAAAACGGATGTTCGAAATTGCATCTGCAGTTCCAATACCTACATATGTTCCTATGTTTAAATGCTCTTCCCAGTATCATACTTTTCTCTTGCACATGCCGCAAAGATACTATTGCCGCGTTTACTCATATGTATTACTCTATATGTATTACTCCCTTTATCGGATCGGAAATGATTCCTCCTCTGCTTTGATGGTTATAATCATAGCCCCCTCGTGAAGGAAGGGTAACAAAATGGAACAAGCAGCGGGAGAGGAGAACATACTCCAATGTATGTATGTTTATCTGGGAGTGTGAATAATTTTCTTAAGAGAGACACAACTGGTGATATATATTTAAGAGAGAGAAGATAAGTGAAATCAGCTGTCGGGCCACCACTCAATTGTTCAAACAAAGACCCGCTCGCCCGCTCTCTCTTTTCCATTCACTTCACGGGCGGACTCTTAAACCAATTTGCACCCACAAAAAAATAGTTTATATATGTACATATAGTTATATAGTTAACTAAATAATATTAAATTGGCTATTAATTTAAAATGGCAACTAGTTTGCTCTTTGCTTTTGTTGTTACCGTCAATGGGGTCTGAATGGGTAATACATATTCATAAATATTTTTGCTGAATATGCATAAATGAATCAATTATGCGACTTTTACTACCAACTGCGTTTTTTTTTTGTCGCTATTACTGTTTTCTGTATTTTGTTTTTTGTTTTCTGCTTATATTAAATAGCACTTAATTCGTTAAATCAATTTGTTTGTAGTTGTACTTAATTAGCATTATTTAATTGTCTCCTTTTTTATGCATTATCCGGTTGAGCGCACAAATCTCTTTTTTAAGCGGATCATTTAATACAGAAATATTTAATTTGTTATGTTTTCTGAACGAACAAATAAGTTACCGCAAACAAAGTCGCACAAACAGTTCAACAGCTCCTGCTCCGAGAATTTTCTGACCGCGATCTACACGGCAACGTCAGTCCAAAGACTGATCCCAAAGAACCGGAGAGGCCTCCCTTGCACTGAAAGGCCAGGCAGCGACGTCGACGTCGACGCCAGTGTCAGACTCCCGACCGTTGGTTGGCTCGCCCATAGTGGCAGTAAACAGTTTTCATACCCTATACCCTGTACTGGTACTGGACAAGGGTTTATTGGACTGAAAAGATGTGTCCGAGCGATTTACTGTAACAAATTAGATAGCTGTAAACAAGTATATTTTATTCATAGAAAACGGATAGCACTATGGGGACGGGAAAAAATTACTATAAGCTAGGGCTGATTCATTATATTCTTGGTTGTTGTTTACAGGCAGAGGGTATCATATAGTCGAAATGCTCACTACAGCTGTCCTATTTGTTATTTCTTTCTTCATGCATTATCAGCCGTGAAAGATAAAGTGAAGAATGAAAGAAAAAGCGACAAAAGGCTCAAACTTTGTAAAAAGACATGACGTGCTCTCATTGCACTGCGCACCCATCAAACGACCGGCTACATTAAGAATAAACACCAAGAGAGACTAGTGTAGAGAGAGTAGGAGAGATTGAGATTGTCACTTTTACTTTTCGCTCTCTGTCCACTGGCGTGTGCTCTCAGTGCCCCATGACCATTTTTCGACTTGAGCATTAACGAATTTTTATGGAACCCCATAAACAGCACACGCCAGTGGAACCATCCAAAAAACGAATCAAAACTTGAATAAGATCAAATAAAATAGCTTCTTTCTTTACAATATGAATAATTAAACAGCTAAAAATAAAGGTAATCCCTCTAGAATGTATAAATTCTTCGGTTCTCTTTGATATTATTCGAATATTCTGTTGTACTGCCGAGAGGAATCCAAATATGATAAACACCATTTCTTTGGAAAATCTTCAACTATTTTTACTGCTGTTTTTGCAACAAATCTTGCCAAAAATACCATCTTATACAATCAGATAAACGTTTTCTTTTTTTTGTAAACAATATTCGTGTGAGGAATGAACCTGAAGAAGAAGTATAAATAAAGTGGACCACCCATCAAGCAGCAAACAAAAACAATTGCGAATTTCAGAAAAATAATACTGCAAATGAAAAGTGGGATTTGAAAAAAATTTTATTGTCGTAGAAAAATGGGAATATTCATTTGGAAAAGTACCGGAAACTTTCATAACAAAAATATCGTAATTTAATCAAGGTGCAAGGAATACTCCCAAATAAGATGTAAGCTCGATGGCAAATCAATACGGTTGAGGCCCTGACCTGTACAATTTCCGTTGAGTTCTCTTGAGGTTCGTAAAAATTCCCAGCTTTTACCATAATGTTTTTTTAGTAGATTTGGTACATTCTATTTTGGTACAATGGCCACAGATTTAATACATTTCCAACGGCTATTTTAAACAATATTTTGCTTACAATATAAGTTCTCCGATTTGCATTGTTTCAAAATTAATGGCCGTGCAATAAAAATGTTGCAGATTGCAGCAGAAGAACACCATACGAGTAGACATACATATATTGGCATGGCTATTTTTGGGCAGGGGAAGTGTCGTAATATGCATAAAGAGAGCTAGTAAAACGTACCAAGAAGACAATCAAAGGTAAAGCCATGCAGCCAAACACCCAGAATGTGGGCGAGGTAAAGACGTAGAAATGGACTGAGGACAGGGAAGGGAGGAAAGTACTGGGGTCTGAGGACCGAGAGCGAATCATAAATAAATTCATAACTGCATCCTGTGCAGATTTCAAGGGCCAAAACGCTCTTGCATATGCAGGGGAAGCGGATTCCAGTTCGTAAGCAATGTCTGAGCAAATATATGAGTGCCTTTATGGTTATGTTCGTGCATGTGTTGGCTTGTGTGCGTGTGTTTGTGTGGGGAATAGAGGAACTTAAATGAATTTATGGCATGTGCTAATCTAAGAGGGTTTTCATTCGCTCCCATAATTACAGGCTAAACCCATTCGCATTGTTTGCTTTTGTCCCGATTCTGATGTCATACCATGGAAATCTGTTGGGTCTGATGTCAGACTATGGAAATGCGATATGAGTACCACTCACTCAAGACTTATTGTAAGGAAATATAGAATCAAGCGAACATTATTCATCCCTCAGTGCTCCCTCAGCTAATTGTTAAATAAAATATTGTATAAATAATTGACTTGTTGCTGATTGATGTGAGGAAATTTGTCTTCATTTTTTGCACACTCATTCCATCAATGATGCTGAACAAATCGCATTGAAAAATGCAACATGGAAACGATCTATTCAATCGTATATTTTTGTTTTCAAACTTAAATGATATTCGTTATCATATCTCTCTCACGCCCTTCTCCGTCAATAGAAGATTTGCCTTGTTCACAGCTTACATACATGAATATAGGCATGTAGATGACGTAAGTAAATCGCTGCGAAGCACCTGAACCGTGTCCAGAATAAACTTGGGAAAACATGTGTCAGATCTCCGACCATTCGCTATTAACTAGATTTCTTAGCCAGACGCACACGGCGAGAAATTGCTTGGCAATTGGATAGAACATGCTTAAATCCGTATGTGTGTAACGCATAGAAGAAAGCGTTTCCGACCACAGAAAGTGTATATAATCTTGATCAGCATCAATAGCCGAGTCGATATAGCCATATCTGTATGTCCGTCCGTATTGTTTGACGCCTAGAGACTATAGGAGCTAGAGCAACCAAATTTTCCATCCAGACTCCTGTGATGTCGCACTGTTACAAGGACGGAAATCTGTGGAATCCACAGTTTTGAAGATACGAGAAAACTAAAAGCGCAGAATCATAGAGACAGACAGACATGGATTAGATCTGATTATTATTTTTATAGCCAGAAGGAAAAAATGAATTTGCAATGGCCACTCTCTTACTTAGAGACTGAGTATCGGGTATAAATGTAGAGTCGCGGCCCTAGTTGCGGCTCACAACGTGCCCGCTCGTTCATATAGGAGTGGACGACTCAAAGATGAATCCTAGTTCAATTGGTATACCGTTGATAAATGGGAGTATTGTAGATAACTAGCTATTGGAAAACTAATTCGGAAGATGAATACGGATTATTGGTGGTTGAAAGCGTTTTATCTCTTTTGGAACTGATAATTGTAACGAATTAGGAGCATTAGCCATTATGTTCTTAGATTGTTTAGTTATTTTTTAAACTGATTGCATTTTCCCAATCGAGTAGATGGATTTCTGTAAATATTTTTATATATATGCCATTTTGTTCATTATTTGTACTACATTCGATCGTCGTCCAAATGTACAAAGGTTTCGGAAAACACTCCATGGCTAATACCACCAAATCAGAGCAGTGGCAAGCCCCCACTGTTTGCGTAATACCCCCAATATTTGATCTAACGAGTATCGTAAATGTTTACGCAACCAATTTGAGGCATTCGATTCGACGCTCCACGAACGCGGGGCAGATACAAAGTTTGCCGATTCGCATAAACAAAAGTCCCCTAAAATACAAAATTGTTTAGCTGTGTAATTAGTGCACCCGATGGGTAGTGGGTACTCGTAGGTTGAGGGGTGGTGATGATGTGCCACAGCGCAGGGCTTACTCGCACTTGCACTGGGTGTGCACTCAGCCCTGTTGCATTGATGATTGGGCGAAATTTCAGTTTGCAACATTCTGCGGTGGTGCTCGGTTGGGCTTTAATGTGTGTGTTGCAGTTGGGCTTAATGCAGTTATACGGAGAGTGCTTCTTACCAGACCACCCTACAACCTTTCAAATACACCCTCGCACACCCAGTCACGCATACACGCACACGCATTTGTGGCATTGTCAAACTATTTGGGATGGGGGAAGGGCATGCAGCAAGCAGCATGCGGCCCAGGAAGTTGATTATGCCTTGTTTTGGCACTTAATATGATGAAATATGCAGAATGCCATTAGACCAGGGAACGGATTTGGTGGGAGCCCATGATTACAGTACCCAGCATCGCTGTTCCGCAACGCCGAGTGCCTGCAGTGAATTATGCAACAAGATTCGCTAAGCTTGCGGCCACATATTTCTGCTCGATACATTTTCCCCACTTTCAAAAGAAACATTTCAAATGTAAATTGCTTTTCTCACATACGGATTCGGTTGCTGCATACTTTCGGGCGCAGCTGGAAAAACATTCCCCCAAAAAAATCGAAATAATAAAATGTTGTTTTGTTCTAAAAGAAGCAAACGAAAATCATAGAGAAATACATACATACATGTACATCATTGTAAATATTTGAATAGATCGGAAAACCTGAAAAACTTTAAAGGGAATGCCATCCAATAATTGATACAATCAATTCAGTTAAAGAAACAATTTACCCAACGATTTTCGAGTGTTTAATAGAAAATTGTTATGGTAAATGGTTTAATCAAGGCGCCCCGCCCCGTCCACCATTTTCGCACATAATCAAATGCATGCAACCAATTTACAAGTCGAGCGGATGCCACTACGATTCTCGGCCTGCCTCTCTCTCTCTTTCTGTCTCTTTTATCCATGCTCATGAATTAACCTCTCGCTCTAGCCATGGCAAAGGCAATTAGCATGCAAAACAAGTAGAAGCCATGAATGCACATCTTACACACACTGGCCTGTGAAAGTACATATGTATGTATCTGTGTATGTAGGTACGAGTACATTTATGGGAAAACGCATAAATATTACTCAAAACACTCACATACTTACATGTGTAGCCCTATGTGAGTGTGCGTGTGCGAGCAGTACGTTTCAGCAGTAAAGTTACAGCAATCGATGGATTTGAATCAATGTAAAACAGAGCCGAGACCATAAGGTATGGCGGGACTATGCTCAATGCTCAATCTCTTCCATTCCAAGTCTGATTGTTGAAATAGAAACCATCATCATTATACATATATTCCTTTGATTTTACAGTTTTTACAACAGCTTTACGCATTCGAAACGCACCTTCCACACACTGCCATTCATGCATTTGTTTGCATATTTGTGCTGCGCTTCTCATTTAGAGA